CTTTGTCGGTGGAACCAGCAGGTAAGCTTCGACGGCTACTGCAGCGACGACGTCGCTATTCTGGCAGAAATAACCGTTACCTCGCTTTGATGACGTAAACAGTAGCGGCGATGCATTGACAACGAATCATAGCATGCTGCTCTGTCGGTGGAAGCAGCGGCGCGTTTCCTTGGCGGAGAGACGTCGCTTGACGGCTTTCTATTTGTCTCGACTGAAACGCCGTATTGCTATCAATGTCAACAGGAACGCCGTCTTACTATCCGTCTCAACAGAAATATAACAGTTTTGGAGGCTATTAAAATATTACTAAGCCTTAGGTTGGTGCAGGAACGTAAGAGACTAAAGGCTGCAACTAGGAGCTCGCGTAACTGGACATGGATGTCAGAGCGGAGATAAGGTAAGGTTGGCCTGAAAGTTACCGCCAGCGGAAGCAAAGCAAGCCAAGGATGGAGACGGAGGAGACGATCTGGTTGATGTTGCTCGAGTCGAAACCTTGGGGACATTGTCTGTCAATGGTTGTCGGGAAAGCGGCTTGGAAGGCGTGAGGTTTGGCCAGGCGAATTCAGTCAGAGGGCGAGATTTGGAAAATTGGAGGGAAACTGGAGGCTCGGTGCGAGATCAGACGAGGTTCGGAATCATGGGAAATTGGATACCAGTGTGGTTCACACATATGTCCCAAAACGCGTATACAAGGTTTGGACCAACAATGCACGCGATACAGTGTATATGCGGTTGTACCTTACTAACTTGGCGACTTCCATAGGACTGCATCAACAATGAAAATTTAGCCAGACATTGATGGTCAAATAGTTGTTTCCATTCCATTCATTACTTCTGCATCACCTAAGCTTACGAGAAAGATGTGGTATTCTTATCCCTTGTCCCGTTTACAGTAAGTTTCTCATTGTTTGCGGCCTCCTGAGGTGGAGGCTGCAATCTCTTTGCGAGGTTAGGATGTATGTGAGAAATCTCCGATGGCAGAGTCTCTGGGCAGATGTACATTTCACAGTGGTCGTCTCGCCACCATTCCCGCAACCTGTCAAAGAAAGAGGCGAAAGCAAAAGAACATGAACAAAATGCAGATCGCTTAGAACAGGAACATTGCACTTGAGTTGAGTCTCGTTGACCAACATGAATTCAAAACATCAGGGCTGCAGATTGCAATGCTTCTTACCGCATGATGTCATGGGAATACGTGGAGCCTGATGTGCCATAGAACTTGAGTGCGAGGGCACAGATGGTCTTATCCAGAAACGACACCACCTCCCTGTTGCTCTCCAAGCCCAGGCTGAGAAGAGGCTCGGCCCAAGCCTGGCCCTTGAGGCTTGGTGGCAATGACACGAACGAATGTGGGGAACCCTGGGGCAAAGCAGGAGCAGTGGAAAGGGAGGGCACACGAGGAGGCATTTGCAATAGGATGAAGTAAAAGTTGGACTCGGAAACACTTTGACGTGCTCCCTACTCTCTACCACTCACGCGCATTGCACCTGCGTCTGCTCCTCGGGGCATTGCTCGCCACATACACCACATAGATGAGACGGAAAAAATCCCCAGTCTCTCAACCAATCCTCCTAATCTTCTGACCAATCCACTTCCTTCCCCTTCCCCCTAGCTTTTTTTCTCCCCCTCCCTCTCACTCACGAGCGTGGTCAGCGTCTCTGACAGTGCGCGCATCTCCTCCTGCCCTGCATTGCTGGCCACAAAGACCATGGCAGCGCCGGGCAGCGCCTGCAGGCGTGCGTGCAGGCAGCGGGCGAGCTGGTGGATGGGGTGGAAGCACGGCACCGCCCTGCGACTGCCATCGCCGTGTATGCAGTGATGGAAGAAATCGCCCCTGGGGGATTGAGGGGAAGGTGGGGGAGGGATGGGAGGGGAGCAGATAGTGAGGGAAGGGGGTTGAGATGATTGGACCCAAATACACATGCTTCGCCCCCTACACTCACTCATCCACTCACTCCCACTACACACTCATGCACTCACTCACACACGCACGCACACACAGTCAGACCACACTCAGGGGGCAGCGGTGTACCTGCGCAGGTGAATGGCAATGAAGCGCGAGCCCAGGAACGTGTTGATGAACCCCACCGCCGCCTCCTGAATGGCCCGGCTGGGCTGCAGCAGCCCGCGGCACTCCGGGCGCACCACCAGCGGCGCTCGCCCATGGAACCTCAGCTCCCTGCCGCCCACACCAAACATGTTGGCAAACGCAATCACATGATGGTCCCCGTGGAACTTTCTGAGAAACTCTGCGGTGGGGTACTTGAACCAGGGGCTGGGTGTGCGCTTGCGGGCGATCTCATGCTTAGCGAAGGTGGCGTGCAGGCGGGATTCATAGGACAGGCGGAGAGAGTCGCACGCCTGGTCGGTCTGGTACACGTGCACGTGGCAGATGTAGCGCCCCACTCGCACGCGGCCTCGGACTGACGTGTTGTAGGCTGAGAAGGTTATGACTCGCCCGGGACCCATGCACTCGTCGAACGCTCCCAGGTCTGGTGGGGGGGCGTGGGGGGCGACAGGAAGATGCATGGGCATTTGGGTGATGATAATGAAGTGGAGAATGTTGGCAGCCGCCACACAAGCAGTCATGGATTGATGCGTTGTAGATGTAGTGCATGCCTTGTGTGGGGATGACGAGCGTGCGGTTCATGTCATGAGCGCCGCACACCCCTGGCACAGGCACAGGGGCGCTGAGGCGCACCACACCCACTCACGCACCTAACAATGCCTCGTAGTCATAGTCGATGCCCTGCGTGGGGATGATGAGCGTGCGATTCATGAGTGCCACGTCCAGCATGTTCTGCAGCAGAACGAGTGACATGTTACCAGCCATACTGACCCACAGGCATGCGACATGAGGCGCACCCCACTCACGCACCTAACAACGCCTCGTAGTCATAGTCGATGCCCTGTGTGGGGATGACGAGCGTGCGGTTCATGAGCGCCGCATCCAGCATGTTCTGCCGCAGACACGCCAGCCGGTTGCTCAGCTGCCCTCCTGAACACAGCGCTATCAGATACCTGGGGGGATTCGGGGGGGGTGTGTTGGGGAGAGGAAACAGAGCGGGAGAAATGGCAAGAGGGGAAGAGAGGGGGGAAAGAGGGGGAAGAGAAGGTGACGGGACGGGAAGGGGAAGCGAGGCGGAGGCGGGTAGGCGAGAGTCAGGAGCCAGGGAAGGCAGGATAGAGGAGGGCAAGCAGGGAGGAGGAACGACGGGCGGTGCATTGTGAGCCAACTCACCCCATTGGCCAGTCGTCATACCTCTGAGGCTTCGGGTTCCAGTGGATTGTGCCGACACGTGGCATGGTGTCATTGGCGCAGGCCGGTTCCGCTGAAGGGTAGAACGGGGGATGGGTAAATTAAGAGAAGGGATTTTCAGGTGAGGCATGATAGTGTGTTACGGATGGCATGGGAGAACCGGAACTCGACACACACCAAAGAGAGACATTCACAAACAGAATGCGGTAACACGCACCGATTTCGCTCACAATGGTGCCGTTTCGCGCAGCCACTAGCTGCTGTAGCCTCTGAATCCCCACCTCCTGCTCCTGCAGGGACTGCAGAATAGCGTCCTGCTGCTGCTTCAGCACCACCAGCGACGCGTTACAAGGCTCTTCGCTAACATAACCGAGTTCACCGCTCCTAGCTCCAGAGAGGATTGAACTGGCAGAAGAAGAGGAGAAGAAGGCTAAGAACGAGAGCGCATTTCCTCTGGCGCATCCGGGGTCGTCAGGTGACACGCACGGTCCCTGCTGCTGGTGCTGTTGCTGCCACGCTGGCACGATAATCGACGTGGAGATCCATCCGAGCTGGAAGCCGACGATAAGGAAGAGCACGGCGGTGGGGGAGGGAAGGCTGCTGAGGCTGAAGATTGACGGCATGGCTCAGGGAGCTTAATGTCGCGACGAAAAGCTTGGTTGAGTGCGGAATAACACGGTTAATTGCGGACCCTAACTACAAAGTGTATCATATGTGATCCCGGGCGACGAGCCGTCTTCGCATGCTGCTGTCCGCTTTAGCGCGGAATCCGGCAGGATGAATCCTACTCCTCGACTCTGCTAACGGAGCCTAATGTCAGGCGGAGCCAGTCAATTCGGCCGGCTAAGGTACGGCATGGCAAATCTTGGTTCGGCATTCCCGCAAAGGGTGCCACAGATGAGGACAAGGCATGGCGGCGAGGAAGGAAGCCAGGAATCAGGAAAATATGCCCCTAGCGCAATGGCGCACATACTATAACAGAACTTGTTTCACTGTGGTGTACATTCTCAATAATCAAAACTTCGGTGCGATAAGCCCACAAACCGCAACGACACTCGGTCAAGTACTTCCCGCTGCGCTCCTGCCAGCAAGGAGCATCCAGTTCCCAAATCCCAAGGCTCACTCCCGCCCTCCCTGTTCTCAAGGCAATCCTGGGAGTTCAGTTTGCAACAGCCAACCACATTCGTTCATCGCTGGTGCTGATTGGCTTGCCTTTCCTTCACAAGACCGTCAAGCTTCTTCCTGATCCGTGCTGTTTTTGCGGTTCCTACTTCCTGGTTCTAGTTTCCCCCTGTTTCTTCTCCGCATTAGCAGCGACGGCGTGCAGTATCGATGCGGTGAGGAGGATACCACGATTTTTAGAGACATTGATGGCAGTTGACCTAGTAGTTGACGTACCATGTTAGTTCCGATCGATCGCGGTACTCTCTAGTTTAGCCGGTTTGCTTAGCTGTGAAGAAGCTGGTTGCAGCATTAGGAGAAGTTTACTACCCCGCTCCTCGCCTGGCTCATTTTCCGTCCTCTGTTTTGAGTCGGTATAAACGATGGCATGGCGTCACCGGTGTAGCAATATGATTGTTTAAAGTTGCAAGTAGTGTGTGAAACCTGTCACTCACCACACCGGATTGCTGTTCTGCCGACATCCCACGGATAAGAGAAAGCTCTGATTCGTCCCCAGTGCCATTAAACTTCTTGTCCACTCCTTACCGCGCAAGTTGATTAGGGTTAACGGCGACGAGCCATGGGGTTCTATCCCAGCATGTTCTTCGGCTTCGTCACGGGAATCGTTGTTATAGCGGGGATTAAATTCATACAGAAGAGGCGACATGCGCAGCGCGTTCGCAAGGTGCAATTTTTTCTTTTATCGCCTTCCATTTCCTGCTGGTTCCTCGTCATTTGCGCGCGCCTTGTTCACTCTTCCCGACTTGCTCGTGTTAATCGCACTGTCAAACTCCTACGCGTTATTGAGCAGATGGTGGATCTCGCGATGATGTCGTGCGTCAACAAGGAGGACCTGAGAAAGCTCATACCCAAAGAGCTGTACCCTACCTGGGTGCAGTTTCCGGAGTTCGAGCGGGTATGACGTGGAAAGGAATTATCATGTTTATGTCGTCAAGGCTTACTTGGTCACGTCTCCAGCACCAACGGGCCATCTTCTTCAACTCTGTCGAGAAGAAACACGCTGTTTCAATTATAATGCTTATGTTAAACTCTGCAGCTGTCGAACGCTTTTCGGCCTTCCCTACGTGCAGGTGGAGTGGATCAACTATTTCCTCCGTGAACTCTGGCCCAAGCTCAGAGAGGTGAGTCTCATGACCGTCTCCTCGGCGCAGTCAACGTCTATTTGTCGCAATGGTCGCTCACCCCTTGCTAAAATCTTCGCCGGAAGCCCGTCTTCTCTCTTACTCTGCTGCGCTTTACACTAACCAGCCACCTCGTCACAAAGCCAGCTCAACCTACTCTTACTACTTTCGCTTATAGCGGGTCAACCCTCCTCTTCCTCCCAAATAACTCCCCTCCCTCCCCTCCCCGCCACCAACCCTGTAATCTACCATTCACCCGTGTGCCTGCCTCCCGCGCTGTATTTGCGGCGCTGCAGGCGATATCAGGCGCGGTGATGATGCAGATAGGGCCCGTGCTGGAGAGCTACCGTCCGCCCATGATCGCATCGCTCAAGCTCACCAAGTTCAACCTCGGCCGCCTCGCCCCGCAGCTCGGAGGTGCGTGCACTGCAGCGCAGCAGCCTGTGGGTGTGGTGATTTGTGGGGAGCTGCCTGTCTGCTTCCGTGGCAACAGCGCACATGCTTACATGCGCGCCTCTTCTTCCCGTGCTTTCGTCTATGCGGTGGAGATTGGGGCGGCGGACGAGGCAGTACTGCACGGGCACCTTGAATTGGGACGTAATGCATTCCCCTTTCTTGACTTCCATGCATCATTCATGAATCATTCTCACACCTCCCTTCCTTCCCAGTCATTGTTGTGGTGGAGACGAGGGCGGGCGAGGTGGCGCTTCATGTTTAATATTCAGAGCATTCCGTTTCTACCATGCTTCATGCTTCATTTCATCCATAACCTCCCCATCGGTGCTGCCGGCATTGACGTGGTGGACACAAAAGCGGACGAGGTGGTGCTGCATGTGCACGTTTTAGTGCATTGTATTCCCACGTGACCCATAACCACGTGCTCCCCCCTCCCTGTCCTGTGCTGTGCTGCTGCTGCAGGCATAGACGTGGAGGAGACGAGGGCGGACGAGGTGGTGCTGCATGTGGACTTCAACTGGGTGGGCGACCCCTCCATCATCCTCTCCATCAAGACGCTCGTCGGCGTCGCGCTGCAAGTGCAGGTGGGTGGCTGCGTGCGGTGGCCATGGCAGGATAGCGGGCGCAGCATTCAGCCATGCATGAGGGTGAACAGGGCGGGTGGCCGACCCCTCCATCATCCTCTCCATCAGACGCTCGTCGGCGTCGCGCTGCAAGTGCAGGTGGGTGCGTGGGTGGGTGCGTGGGTGGGCGGACTGGCAAGAGCAGCCAGAAGGCAGGAGGCGTGCCCCAACAGAAAAGCCGTCCATCTTCTTCTTCTCCATCAGACACTCGTGGGGGTGGCGCTGCAAGTGCAGGTGGGTGGGTGGGTGGGCGGGTGGACCGACAAGTTAAAGCACGTGTGAAGCATGCGCAGGTGCATGGGCAAGTGAAGACAGGTTCGTGTGCAGGAGCAGGAGAGTCTGCACTGTTGTAGTCGTGTGCTGCTCGCATCAGCCTCCTTGCAGCACTTGTGACCGGCTTTTGGCACAGCACTTTTGGCCGGTTTTTGGCACAGCACTTTTGATCTGGCTGGCTCACTGGTGAGCCGCTCTTGCATGTGCCCTCTCCCATGCAGGTAACTACCCCTCCAAAGTAAGGCTCCATTCAAGTGGGCCCAAGTGACCCTCACGCCTCGCATCAGCAACTGCCCGTCTGTGCTTCCCTTTCCTGTTTCAAGACACGACACATACTTGCTCTCCTCTCCGTCCCAATCCCCGCACCCCTTTGATCGCCAGGTGAAGAACCTTCAGATATGGGGAGTGTTTCGCGTCGCCCTCACGCCCCTCATCCCCAACATCCCATGCTTTGGCGCCATCGTCTTTGCCTTCACCAAGAAGGTACCTTGCGCCATTTCTCTGCTGTGCTGTGCTGCTACCAAGGTGACTTCTGAGTCAACAGTCCCCTCTTCCCCACCATCCCATGCTTTGGCGCCATCGTCTCTGCCTTCATTGGACGGCCTCTCTTCTCTACTGCTACCTGCTTCCATTCTCCTGTGACTGCAAGTAAAGATGGCCTTTTATCGAATGTTCTTATGTGCTTGGCAGTCAACGGAAGGCAGGTAGACAGCAGGCCTCCCTCTGCTCTGCCTGCCTCATTCATTCATCCATCCAGGCTGCGAGCTCACAAGCTGATGCCTTTCTGTTGTTCTCTCTCTCATGCCTTGCCTTCCTCCTCCCCTCTCCCTCCTCCCTTTCTCTTTCCCCCCTCCCTCCTTTCCTCTGACTTGACATGGCAGCCGGGCCTGACCTGGGAGAGTTTGAGTCAACTCAGAAATCACCTAGGCAGCCAACCCCACCCCATTCCCCCTGCACACACGTGCTCTCCCCTCCCATCTTCTCACCCCACGCATGGCACAGCCCGACGTGAAGTTCAAGTTGAAGGTGGCGGGCGGTGACATTGCCACCGTGCCTGGCCTGGGTGATGCCCTTGATGTGAGTCCGCGTGGTGATGCCCTTGATGTGAGTCCGCATGGTGATGCCCTTGATGTGAGTCCGCGTGGTGATGCCCTTGATGTGAGTCCGCGTGGTGATGCCCTTGATGTGAGTCCGCGTGGTGATGCCCTTGATGTGAGTCTGCATGGTGATGTGATGTGATGTGAGTCTGCATGGTGATGTGATGTGATGTGAGTCCGCATGGTGGTGTGATGTGAGTCGGTGTGGTGATGTATTGTGAGTGGGCGTGGTGATGTGATGTGATGTGAGTCGGTGTGATGTGAGTCGGTGTGGTGATCTCATGGGACGTTACTGTGATGGCATGAGGATGTGAGTTGGCATGGCATGGTGATGAGTTGGCATGATGGCATGATGGCATCATAATGTGGTGCCCGTTTCAACCTGTGCGCGCTGGTGCAGGATCTGATTCGAGCAGCCATCATGGATTCGCTGGTCTGGCCGGTGCGCCATGTCATCCCCATCGTGCCCGGCAACTACGAGTGAGTTGCTGCCTGTACACGTCTGGCTTGCCCGCTCAAATCAAAAGCCATGTCATTCCCATTGTGCCTGGCAACTACGAGTAAGTTGCTGCTGCCTGTACCTGTGTGTAGCTCCAGTTGACTCCGTGCATTCCTCTCCTGTTTTTTACGCGTTGAGCTCTCGAGTTGCCTTCCCCTGCACAGTATGGTTGGTTGTTTAGATGAAAGAGCTACGCAGGTAGCCTCCTGTCTCTTCTGCCCCCCGTTTCTGTCTTCTTACACCCTTCATTCCTCACAGGCCACCCCTTATTCCCCACATCCCACCTTCCTCCCTCCAATCCCACTTGGCTCCCCTTCCCTCAACCCCCCCCCCCCTTTTCCCTCAACCTCCCCTCCCCCCCCCCCTCTTTCCCTCAACCTCCCCCCCTCTTCCCCTCAACCGCGCTCCCACTTCCCTCAACCCCCCTCCCACCCCAGTTACCTGCAGATGCGCACGGTGGGCGTGCTGGAGGTGAAGCTGGTGGAGGGCAGGGACCTGGTGAACCTGTCACTGCTGGGCACCATCGACCCCTACGCCACGCTCTTCGTGCGCCCCAAGCCCACCCTCACCCGCCGCAGCCGCACCATCGTGAGTCACTTATGAATTACTGTGAATCCTCCAGGAACCACTGTGAATCCTCCAGGAGCCACTGTGAATCCTCCAGGAACCACTGTGACTTCTCCAGGAACCACTGTGACTCCTCCAGGAACCACTGTGACTCCTCCAGGAACCACTTTGACTCCTCCGTGAACCGTCACGAGTCCATCATGAGTCGCTATCTTACCTCGATGGGCCCTTTGAGTCCGCTGAAAGGCCATCCATTCTCAAATCTCCACGCCCTCGCTGCAGCGGAACCATTGTGAGTCGTCGCTCGTCTCGCTCAACCCTCGCTGGTACTGCTTTTGCCGCCCGGCCCCATAATTTTGCCCCTTCTTTTCTGAGGTGACATCTCCGCTCTCTGCTTCAACTCTCGACTTGTTTGTGTGGCACCCAACCATGTTTATTCACTCTCAAAGTTCAGACCACTTGTACGAGTAGTGGGAGTTGGAGGAGCAAACGACATGGAGTCACAGAAGCATATGTGACATTCAATTGCTCGGGGGCACAGCACAGATACACACACATGCCGCAGAGCAGAGACTGGCTGATCTCCTCTCCCTTCCTCTCCCTCGTTCCTTTGCTTTTGCTGCTTGCGCTGGCAGGGCAGCTCTGATCCCACTGTGGAGCCACTCGTTTGACTTCAAGGCGACGACTGCGTGACATGGAAAGGAAACACAGGGAGCAGAGCACAAACACGCAGGGCCGCAGAGAGTCATTTCATCTCCGCGCTCCCGTTTGTCTTCCCCCTCCCTTGCGTGTGCGGGCAGGCCAACTCGGTGAACCCGCTGTGGAACCACTCGTTTGACTTCAAGGTGGAGGACCCCGACACACAGAGGCTCGTCATCAAGGTCAGCCCACATCTCTTCATTCTGTCGGAGCTGTAAGAGTGGTAAGAAATTTACCTTCAAATAAGGGTCAGTCTGGTGAGAGTTGAGATTAAGGCTCCCCCCTATGCCTGTCCGTCTAATGTTTGCCCTCCCACTTCCCTGTTTACTCCCTTTCAAGAGTCGCCACAAGAAGTCGCCACAAGAAGAGTTACTCGAACCCTGCTTTTCTTCTCCCCTCCCTCCCTAACCATGCCTGTTGAGCAGGTGTGGAACGAGGAGGAGCTGACCGCGTGGCTGCTCCTGTGTGGCGGGAAGATGAACGGCTCTGCGAGGCAGCACACACACGCCACTCTCGCCCTCTTTTTGACGTGCCTCACAGGCAGTATCATGCACCGCACAGCTCACTCACACCAAACTTCCCTTTCCTCTCCCCTCCGCCACACATCACTTGCAGGTGTGGAGTGGGGCGACCAGGAGTTGTTGACGGCATCACAGACCGTTGGGCAGGCGGCCATTGTACTGCCGGACCTGCCAGCACTGGAATAAGAATATGGCTCCCAACTTTGCCCCTCCTCTCCAACCCCCTCCCCTCCCCACCATGCGTTTTGCCAGGTGTGGGACAACCAGGAGCTGACAGCGTCTGTGCCGGTGGGACAGGCGGCCATAGCACTGGCGGAGCTACCAGCAATGCCACAACCTGCCGCCTCCTTGCCCCCTTTCCGTCCCTCTCCCCCCCAACGCGTCCCATGCAGGTGTGGGACGACCAGGAGCTGACAGCGTCGGTGCCGGTGGGGCAGGCGGCCATTGCACTGGCGGACCTGCCGCCGCTGAAGCTGGTGGACCGCTGGGTGCCCGTGGTCAAAGACGTGGATGACCCCAAGGCTGACACCCGCCCAAGGGGCTCGGTATGACTCTTGCTGCCATGAGGTAGGTAGCAGATTACATACAGTAAGGTGAAGGCCAGGGCGCCACTGAAGCTGGTGGACCGGTGGGTGCCCGTGGTCAAAGACGGGATGACCCCAAGGCCGACACGCGCCCCCGCGGCTCGGTATGACCTGTGGTGCTGTGGTGCTGTGGTGCTGGTATGAGGTAGCAGATAGCATGCAATGCAAGCCCTGAGGTTGACACCTTCCCGCGTGGCTCTGTACGTGCCGCTCTATCTGGCCATAGAAGGTGCTGTGCGTGCCATTGCATAGCTGGTACCTGGTGACAAGATGAAATGCCTTGAGATAGATCCCATGCCACAACATGACGCTCTTCTCCTCCACTCTCCGCTCCCCTCCCCTCCCTCCCTGCTCTCTCAGTTGCATCTGGAGCTGCTGTACCGCCCTGTGGACGAGCGCGGGGTGCTGCTCGCCCCTTGGACTGTTGAGTCAACTCAGCACGCTCATTCTCCTCCACACTCCCCCCGTTCCCCTCCCCCCCTCTCTCCCAGTTGCATCTGGAGCTGCTGTACCGCCCTGTGGACGAGAACGGGGTGCTGCTCGCCCATTCTACCATTGAGCCAACTCAAAGAAATCATTCCCCTCCGCTCTCTCCCCTGCTCCTCGTTCTCAGTTGCACCTGGAGCTGCTGTACCGGCCAGTGGACGAGCACGGGGTGCTGCTGGCCCCGGCCTACTTCACCCCGCCAGCGCCCAAGACGCTCCAGGAGGCAGCAGCAGCAGCCAACGCAGCAGAGGCACGCAAAATGCGGCAGGCGGGCGTGGGGTTCCTGAGCCCTATCAAGGCGCAGCAGCAGGAGGAGGGCGAGGGGGGGGAGGATGTGCCGGCGATGGCTCTGGGGGGGATCAGGGGGGGTTGGGAGTGGAGGACGGGGAGAAGAAGTACTTGAGAGGCGTGCTGCAGGTGGTGCTGCTGTCGGGGCGAGATCTCATGGCGTGTGATATGAATGGGCTCAGTGACCCCTTTGCTGTCCTCGAGGTAAGCAGGCCCTGGCAGTGCTCTGATGCCTTCAGTTATTTCAACAAGAGCTCATGGCGTGTGGTATGAATGGGCTCACGAACCCGTTTGTCGTGCTCGAGGTACGCACGCTGCTGCTGTGCCCTCAGGGGTTATCTCAGGCTGCTGCTGTGCTTTTTTTTTTGTGTCACTCGTGGTTCCCCAGAGGTTATCTCAGGCTGCAACTACTGTGGTGAAGGATACGTAACCGCTACCTTGTCACATGCTTTCCGCTCTCTCGTTCCCCCCTCTCTCAACCGCTCTGCCCACCTGCAGCTGCAGCTGGGCGGGCAGAGGAGGAAGTCACGGGTGGTGAAGAAGACGCTCACATCACGCCCCTCACTGCTTTCTCACATCATCCCGCTCTCTCACTCCCATTATCCCCATCCACTCTTGTTCCGTGCAGTTGCAGCTGGGCGGGCAGAGGAGGAAGTCACGGGTGGTGAAGAAGACGCTGCAGCCGGAGTGGAATGAGAACTTTGAATTCCTCGTGGAGGATGGCAAACACGACATGCTCGTCGTGGGGCTCTTTGACCACGACCTGCTGGGCAAGAAGGTAGGCTTTCCTTGTAACGTGTTGCTGGTGAGTATCTGTCACGGCCTTGGCGCATCAGCATCAGCATCAGCATCAGCATCAGCGCATCAGCATCAGCATCAGCATCAGCATCAGCATCAGCGCATCAGCATCAGCATCAGCATCAGCATCAGCGCATCAGCATCAGCATCAGCATCAGCGCATCAGCATCAGCATCAGCATCAGCGCATCAGCATCAGCATCAGCATCAGCATCAGCATCAGCATCAGCATCAGCATCAGCATCAGCGCATCAGCATCAGCATCAGCATCAGCGCATGATCATCAGCATCAGCATCAGCATCAGCGCATCAGCATCAGCATCAGCGCATCAGCATCAGCATCAGCATCAGCATCAGCATCAGCATCAGCATCAGCGCATCAGCATCAGCATCAGCGCATCAGCATCAGCATCAGCGCATCAGCATCAGCATCAGCATCAGCGCATCAGCATCAGCATCAGCATCAGCGCATCAGCATCAGCGCATCAGCATCAGCATCAGCATCAGCATCAGCGCATCAGCATCAGCATCAGCATCAGCATCAGCATCAGCGCATCAGCATCAGCATCAGCATCAGCATCAGCATCAGCGCATCAGCATCAGCATCAGCAACAGCATCAGCATCAGCATCAGCATCAACATCAGCATCAGCATCAGCATCAGCGCATCAGCATCAGCATCAGCGCATCAGCATCAGCATCAGCATCAGCGCATCAGCATCAGCATCAGCATCAGCGCATCAGCATCAGCATCAGCATCAGCATCAGCGCATCAGCATCAGCATCAGCGCATCAGCATCAGCATCAGCATCAGCGCATCAGCATCAGCATCAGCATCAGCATCACCGCATCAGGATCAGCATCAGCATCAGCATCAGCGCATCAGCATCAGCATCAGCATCAGCGCATCAGCATCAGCATCAGCATCAGCGCATCAGCATCAGCATCAGCATCAGCATCAGCATCAGCGCATCAGCATCAGCATCAGCGCATGAGCATGAGCATGAGCATCAGCATCAGCATCAGCATCAGCATCAGCGCATCAGCATCAGCGCATCAGCATCAGCATCAGCATCAGCGCATCAGCATCAGCATCAGCATCAGCATCAGCGCATCAGCATCAGCGCATCAGCATCAGCATCAGCATCAGCATCAGCGCATCAGCATCAGCATCAGCATCAGCATCAGCATCAGCATCAGCATCAGCGCATCAGCATCAGCATCAGCATCAGCATCAGCATCAGCATCAGCATCAGCATCAGCGCATCAGCATCAGCATCAGCATCAGCATCAGCGCATCAGCATCAGCATCAGCGCATCAGCATCAGCATCAGCGCATCAGCATCAGCATCAGCGCATCAGCATCAGCATCAGCATCAGCGCATCAGCATCAGCATCAGCATCAGCATCAGCGCATCAGCATCAGCATCAGCATCAGCATCAGCATCAGCGCATCAGCATCAGCATCAGCGCATCAGCATCAGCATCAGCATCAGCATCAGCGCATCAGCATCAGCGCATCAGCATCAGCATCAGCGCATCAGCATCAGCATCAGCGCATCAGCATCAGCATCAGCATCAGCGCATCAGCATCAGCATCAGCATCAGCATCAGCGCATCAGCATCAGCATCAGCATCAGCATCAGCATCAGCGCATCAGCATCAGCATCAGCGCATCAGCATCAGCATCAGCATCAGCATCAGCGCATCAGCATCAGCATCAGCGCATCAGCATCAGCATCAGCATCAGCGCATCAGCATCAGCATCAGCATCAGCATCACCGCATCAGGATCAGCATCAGCATCAGCATCAGCGCATCAGCATCAGCATCAGCATCAGCGCATCAGCATCAGCATCAGCGCATCAGCATCAGCATCAGCATCAGCGCATCAGCATCAGCATCAGCATCAGCGCATCAGCATCAGCATCAGCATCAGCGCATCAGCATCAGCATCAGCATCAGCATCAGCATCAGCGCATCAGCATCAGCATCAGCATCAGCATCAGCATCAGCATCAGCGCATCAGCGCATCAGCATCAGCATCAGCATCAGCGCATCAGCATCAGCATCAGCATCAGCGCATCAGCATCAGCATCAGCGCATCAGCATCAGCATCAGCATCAGCATCAGCATCAGCGCATCAGCATCAGCGCATCAGCATCAGCATCAGCGCATCAGCATCAGCATCAGCGCATCAGCATCAGCGCATCAGCATCAGCGCATCAGCATCAGCATCAGCATCAGCGCAATAGCATCAGCCCATCAGCATCAGCCCATCAGCATCAGCGCTTCAGCATCAGCACATCAGCATCAGCATCAGCATCAGCGCATCAGCATCAGCATCAGCATCAGCGCAATAGCATCAGCCCATCAGCATCAGCCCATTAGCATCAGCATCAGCGCATCAGCATCAGCGCATCAGCATCAGCGCATCAGCATCAGCGCATCAGCATCAGCATCAGCATCAGAATCAGCATCAGCATCAGCATCAGCATCAGCGCATCAGCATCAGCGCATCAGCATCAGCGCATCAGCATCAGCATCAGCATCAGCATCAGCATGAGCATCAGCATCAGCATCAGCATCAGCATCAGCCCATCAGCATCAGCCCATCAGCATCAGCGCATCAGCATCAGCGCATCAGCATCAGCGCATCAGCATCAGCGCATCAGCATCAGCGCATCACCATGAGCATCACATCAGGACAGCATGCCTCGCAGCAGCTGTCGAACAGGCAAGCACGACATGCTCGTGGTGGGGCTTTTCAACCACGACCCGCTCAGCAACAAGGTGAGTGCTCCTCATAACTCGCTGTTACATGGAGCGTCAACGGGTGTGCTCTGAGGCACCGTGCGGTGCAGCGACTGGGGGTGGATGGCAAGCACGGCATGCTGGTGGTGAGGCTCTCTTCGACCACGACAGCTGGCGAGTGAGAGTTCCTGTGTGGGTCGTTGTTGGCTAGCGGTCGGTCGTCAAAGGTGTGCTCTTTGGCACGTTTCACGTTCTTTGCCAGCTTTGTGCTCCTCGTGGAGGATGGCAAGCATGGCATGCTCGTGGTGGGACTCGTCGACCATGACCTGCTGGGCTTGGATGAGAGTTCCCTTCCCTGTATGACTTTGGTTGCCTGCATGTGAGATATAATGGCATCCTCATGCATTTGGTATGGCTGGCAAGAGAGTCAGTACGTGGGGGATGGTGGTGATGCATGAATTGCTGAGCTAGGATGCGCATGCGGGCTTCGTTTCTGCTTATGTTACTCTTGGAATGGGATGTGATTGGAAAAAGTAATGCTTATACTGGTATGTTGCTGAAAAGTCTGCATACGGTACTTTGTTTTGTCTTGCCATGATCCGTATCTTTGTGTCTTCATGTTTGCAGGATAACATGGGTCGGCTGGGTGTGAGCCTGACGAGAGTAATGATGGAGGGGCATATTGAAAGCGAGTTCCAACTGATGGATGTGTCTCATGGATGGTTAAAGCTGAAGCTAACATGGAAGCCTGTACCATAGACTTGTAGGCTACTCAAGTCAAGAAGCTTCCTTTTATGATTTGTGTTGAGTAAGTTGCGTTTTAGGATGAGTTATGTTATTTGCCTTATGCCTCGAAATTGTAATTAGCCGATTTAGGTGGCTCTAACTACTGTTCATTGCACTTGGAATCAATCATTCCCAAAATCCTCCTCGGTTATGGATTCTGTCTTGAATGCCAGTCAAATGCACGGCGTCGCGGCATTTCCAGCCCTTGACCTGTCCACATTCGACCGCCCTCGCAAGCCACCTGATCTTTAGCGATTGTTCGTGCGACGATGCAGCGATGTTACACGCTTGCAAGAAACCTCTTTGCGATAGGGCGGAAAGGATTTGGCGACCACTGGAATCCAGCCATTTCGAAAGGCATCTTGTCGGATTTGCTGCGTTGGCGCGCTTTGGTGGCCCAGAAGTACCTCTCACGAGTCGCTTCCAGAATCCGACGAATTCGAGAGTCGCAGACTCGTCAAATGCGACTACCAGCCACTGCGATTCTCAGATCGTCATCGCATTCCTTGCTTTCACCCTCTCGACCATCCATCGCCGCAACACGACCAAGAATTTGGTTCGCAGACGTCGCCTCCAGAACTCCGTTTGTTCTGGCGCTGCGTAGAAAAAGTGCCTCTCCTTGAGAACTTTATCTTCCGAGTCATTGCGTCAAGGAGATAGTAATAGCAGCAACCTGTGTCTTCGCTGCCACTTAGTCAGTGTTTGGGTGGGATCTGAGTGATCGGCCCATGTTTCACGGCTCTAATCCAGTACCGCAACTTAATAACCGAACCGCGACTTCAGATAACGAGCAGTGGAGACAGTGGTGGGTGGATTGAGTATTCTTTCAAGTGCGTGCTCACATGGCGTATCAAGGTCCTCCTGTTACAGCACCGCCAAATCAAGGTGTGACGCGTGGTGGGGTTGCTTCAGGGATGACATTCATGCTTCGACGCGGTTTATTACTATCCTAGAAGACATCGTTTAGTCAATGAAATGAAATTTATCGGGTTTGTTCCATTCCGCGAGATTACACCATTGAACGTTACTAATCCCGTCGCACACACGAGCAGGTTACCACTTCTGTCGTGACGGCCCTTCGTCTCCGCCTGACTGCGCGTCGCCCACGGAAGCCTTCACGAACCCCCTCAGCCTCAGCCGCAGCAGCAGTAGCGGCAGCGGCGCGGGGCACTACTATCACTACTACCAGTGCGATTCGCCCCCGCCGTGCAGCGGCGTGATCGTGACAAACAAAGACGCGAGCGTGTACGACAACTGCTGCGTCGCGCTGTAAGCTGATGAGCTGATAATGTCGTGAATGGATGAATGAATATAACTGGTCTTTTTCTTCCGTTCTTTCAAGGCGCGTCTTGATCCGTTCGTGGAAGCACTTGTCAATCTTGAAGATGGTTCATGGCTGACGCGCTCTCCGTGTTCCTTGTTGCTGCAGAGTATCGGTGCTCTGCTGCTGCTGGGTGATAGACGGCTTCGTCTGACCGTCATTCGTTCGGACTCCCGTCTCCTGATCGCCTTCGTGTGAGCCGGTCTCGCATTTTTCGAGTCGCGCAGCTAAAACATATCTGGTCCGCGATCGCGACATGTGGTGGATTCCAAGCGAAAGCAGCCTTTGTTGCTCTCTCCGTTTCTTTTTTGCTGGTCGCTAAGTGGCAATTCCATGCTCAGAATGCTCTAAGTGACTATTTTTTTGTGAGATCTCTCTGTATGGGTTGTTCTACAAATGAGCCTCATTCACTCTTTTCAAGGAACAGGACCAAGAGCCACAGCAAAAAACTCAAATTGCGCAACTCAAAGTCAAAATTGTCCTAGGATCCCCGCTACTAGGTAGTAGATACCCGTACTACAGCCTGAATAGAGAAAGCTTAGCCCTTGTGACACCATAACCCCAGCAGGGTGACACACCAGCAGGGTGCCACAAAGGTTTTTCCATACTGAGAAGCACATCCCCAGCAGAAGCATTCCGGGCAGGACGAGCTAAAGCCATTTCCCCTCGGCGGCATTGGCACCCTTCCCTGCCACATGCCCTCAGCGCCGCATCCCCCTGCTCGCTCCAGGTGTCTTCCAAGAAACCTCCTGCTCTTGCCATCCCGTGCATGCCGCCAGCGGCAATGCCACATGCACCTACTTTGTGTGCATTGGGGTAGCAATTTGCTTGACAATCTGTCTCCAGCATCCACCCATCTGCTAGGCACAATGCGCTCTCCCCCTCTCCTCCCCCATCTCCCACCCCCCACACCCTCCGCCGCCCTCTGCAGCTTGCCTCCTACCGGCCAATTGTGGGGCACGAATTGCATGCCTCCAGCGCTATTTGAGGCGCCTAGACCTACCCCACACGTCATGCCATGCCACATGACTCAGTACTGAGCAGGTCATCCAGTTCCTACCCATTGCCTCCTGCGTAGCGACTTTGAGTCAACCCAAGGGTTACTGTGCCCACCCAGCAGCAGCGCCTCCTCCCCCGCCACCACCTGCACTCGCTGCTCCTCACTGAGCAAGTGTGTGTGTGCCATGAGTGCACCCATGCACCCATGCACCCATGCACCCATGCAACCCTCATTCTTATTGGCCCCGCATCAGCAGAGCTTCCCCCCCCGCCACCACATGCGGCAGCATCTCATGCCTCTGCTCCTCGCTGGCCCACAAGACACAAGCGCACTCATGCATCTCCCCCCGCCCCCCCCGCCTCCCTAGTGGCCCCGCCGCAGCAGCGCCTCCTCGCTCGCCACCACGTGCTGTTGCATTGCGTCCCTCTGCTGCTCACTGACCAAGTGTGTTGTTCCACGAGCGCACCCGTGCACTACCCACGGCGTCACGCATGCACCCATGCACGCCCCTTCCTACTGGCCGCGCAGCAGCAGCGCCTCCTCCCCCGCCACCACCTGTTGCAACATCGCATCCCTCTGCTCGTCACTTGCAAAGTGGAACCGCCGCCCGTGGCCTGGGGGACACACGCAGGGATGAGAGGGGACACGGGCAGGAAGGGGAGGAGAGGGGCGAGGCAGGGGAGTAGAGGGGCGATGGCGATTGAAGCAGGAGGGCAGGGGGGCACGGAGGCAAGGGGCCAGGCGAGCAGTGGGGCAGGGGGGCAGTGGGGCAAAGGGCAGGGGGGCAGGGGGCTCTGCTGCAAAAACTGATGCAAATCCATAACACACGTTCACCTGGCAGCACCGCGCCTCACCTGGCAGCACCCAGCGGAAGGGCAGTCCCACCAGCTTCTTGGCGCTCTGAATCTGGACTGGCACTGCACGGGTGGTGGCGCAGGTGGCAGGGGCGGGGGGACGGGGGGCAGGGGGCAGGGGGCCGAGGGCAGGGGACAGGGGAGAGGGGGCAGAGGGCAGGGCGCAGGGGACAGGTGAAACGGGTCAGGAACAAGAAAATATGACATTTGAGGAGACTAGATACTGGGTACAAGGGATAAGGGATGAGGAAGGACGGACAAGAGGCAACAAAGAACAAGGCACACAAACACAGAGAGAGGAGGCAGCAACGTGTGACAGTGCAGAGCGACAGGGAAGCAGAGCGACAGTGCTTTCTCTTCTCCAAAACGCTTTCTCTGGAGCCCTTTTTTTGCTACCACAGAGGAAAGACGGCAGTGAATCTCGTTTGACTTGGGTTGACTCACCCGAGTACCAGTTGACGCGTCTAAATATAGTAAGGCTTTCCGTAGTTGGAGCGTACGCAAGGTGGTCGCCTGAAAAGAGCGCTCCCTCGTGCGCCTTATACAGCAGGCTCACGGAGCCCTGTGAGAGGAGTTAGGGCGGGGAGTGAGGAAGAATAGCCACGTGATTAAAGAAGTGTTTTGAGACATGTCAAAATACAGCAGACTCACGGAGCCCTGTGGAAGGAGTTAGGGTGGGGAGTCGGGAAGAAGAAGGGAGCGGTGATTGAGCGAGCAGTCCGCCTCCCATCCCCTCCCCTCCCCTGAGGAGAGCTTCACGAGCAGCGCTCCTCTGTCCGCCTCACATAGCACACTCATGGAACTCTACACACACACGCAGAGAGCGAAAACAGAGTGGTGCGGATGGTGGTTTCGGGAGTGAACTAACCCGTGCGGTTCGTCTGGCCCCAGGCACGAGGGGCTGTGCCGCACCTACGGCTGCTACTGGGACCCCACGTCACTTGCACTGCTTCCGCCACCACTCGACGTGCACACGCACTTCCCATTTGAACCGCGCCCTACCCAGTTGCACAAGAGCGCTCACCTCGATGTGACCGGGGGTGAATAGGATCTTCAAATCCGACCCAAGGCACCAGGGCCCCGTGCCGTCCAATAGCATCTCCACATCGCAGTACCCATTTCTACCGCGCTCTACCCGCCCTCACCTCGGTGTGGCCGGGAGTGAAGATGATTTTAAGGTCGGACCCCAGGCACCACGGCCCCGTGCCGTCCAATAGCATTTCGACGTCTGTCGTGTCGGGCTGCACCTCGAGCGCGTGGAGGACACGCTCCGCCTTGAACCGCGCCGCCCACCGCGCGTGGTCCGCCACGTCGTCGCGGTGCGAGAGCACGATGTAGCGCACGCCGCCCATGCGCGCGAGCGCCTCCGCCAGGTGCTCCGAGTAGCGCGGGCAGTCCACCATCACGTTCCCCGCCGCGCGCTGGATTAAGTAGGACGCGGCGCCACGGGGGAGGGAGGGAGAGAGGGAATGAGGGAGAGAGAAGATGAGGAAGTGAGGAGAAACGGCAAAGGGGATATGAGGAAACGGGAGAGAGCGAGAGTGGGAAGCGGCACCGCACTGCACCGACCTGGATGAAGTAGGAGGTGGCGCCGAAGGACTTGCGCGAGTGGTAGCCGCAGTGGAACACGCCGGGCAGCGCGGAGGCGTCGATGGGCAGCGGGAACGCGTCGCGCGCGCGCGGCACGAGCGATAGCGACTCGCGCGAGTGGATGGAGGCCGTCGGGCACGACAGCAGCGCCTGGGCGGCGGAAATGCGTGGGGAAGGCGGGAGGGGAGAAGGGACGAGGGAGGAATAGGTGACGACATGGCATGGGGCATGGCACGGGGCATGTATGGGGCAATCATCCTAACACCAGAAATTTCTTGATATGGTTCCCATGCTTTTATCGTTCAAAATCCATCATTCGCCGTTCATCATTCGCCGTTCATCATTCGCCGTTCATCATTCGCCATTTATCGCTCGTCGTTCGTCGTTCCTGGTTCGTTCGTTCGTTCGTCGTGCTCGTTGAAACCCTTCCTCATACCTGCAGCGCCTTGACGGTAGTCGCCTCGTCGCCGGGCTGTGCGAACACGGCGGATTTCGACCCGACCTTGGCGAACACTTCGGGCGCCATCCACCGGCACGTGTCGCAATTGATGCACGTGTGGTCCACGTAGAAGTCGCCCGCCACGTTCTCGCCACGTGGCGCCCTCGCGCCGCCCACGCGCTCCCCCACCTGCTGCGCCTGCGCCTCGACCTTGAAACTCGGGACTCGCGGCGCTGCTGACGTGGCAGGGATTGCTAGCACAGATTGCGACCAGCCGGCGCTGTCACTCCAGCCGACGGCGCCGCCTCGCCGTGCCGTCAGTGGCGGCGCCACTCGCAAGCCGCCGCCGGCGCAGCAAGTCGCGAAAGCTACAGACATTTGCGCTCGCGCGCCGTACGTGTATGAATCAGCAAGCAACAGTTCGCAAAAAGCTCGAAGGTGGCGAAGACTTCGTCAGATTCTGGAACTAGTTGATGCAGCGGCGTTCACAACCTAGCACTGAGTCAGTTGCTAGAGGCGAACGAATTACCAGAGTCAGAAGGCTTCTTGCAAGTTTTCACTCGCTGCGCGAACTCGTATATCTGTTTCCTGACGAAGCTCAAGCAATATGAGCTAAGACCCGAGGAAGTCGGAAGTATATGTAACTAGTACTATTTCAGCATAGCCTCAGCAAAATCGTCCTGCTTTGTGAGTGAGCTGCCGTGCTGCTCCGCCTAGTCAGAAGTCCCCATTCCGAATTCCGTTGGGTCTGCCTTGCCCCGTCGCCGTCAATCAGTCAGCCCCTGGTTGAGCGGAATGCTTCCTTGGCGCCTTGTCAGATCTGCGTATACACGTCACATGTAGCCGCAATCTTGCCTTCTGGCCAAATTCCAGCTCATAATCGATAGAAATGCGCTGGTTCAAGGCTAGGTGCAATCTGAAAATATCGTCCGACCATTCGCGACGAAGTCGCTGGCTCGCACGGCGCAACATGACGCGCTCGCGAGGGAGCGGGTTTCGTGCGCTGTCGCTGTGACAGCGAATTCTGCACGTGCGACGAGACGAATGGTTTGGTCGAGATACGGTTCGGGAGACAGCTGTTTGAATGTCCTTGCACCCATGACATTACCCGTTATTCGTATACGCGTATAATATACAGATAAATACAAGGCAATATAAAAACAAGTATGTCAGTGAGAGTCGGAGTGTTAGCGCGGTTGTCAGTTGAGGCATCCGAAGTGTGAGAGCTCCAAATGGTGCAGCCTCACACATGTCAGCACAGGCTCCGGAAATTCCTGGGGTGAATTACCCTGGTGGGCCACGCAAGGGAGGCAATGCAACTCACTATCAACTAGAGGCAAACAAATGAGGATGGGTGACCACATTCACTCTCCTCACCTATGAATAGTTTACAGGATGGAATGTGAGACGGCTCACTGAAATGAGGAATTCCACACCCCATGCTGTAACAAAGATCAGTGGCAGCGACTCACACGAAATAAGGCACATGGTGAGGAGAACAGACTCACGTGCAGCACGAGGGCAAGGTCAAGGATGGCGTCTGGCAGGTGGGGGCGCAGGGAGAGCAGCGCCTTCTGGTGGGCAGGCGGGAAGGCATGCGCGTCTATGTCCAACTCCATGTAGGGCTGGGTGGTGGACTGGGGGAAGGGGGAAGAGCAGTGGGGGAGAGTGGGGAGAGGGGAGTTGATATGACAAGGCAGGGGGGAAGGCGTGTTCGTTTATGTTCAGTTCTAGGTAGGGCTGGGCGGACGACTGGGGGAAAGGAGGAAGAACGCAGGTGATGAGGGCCGTATGTGATAAGAAGCACACAACTGTGAGCAAACCTCACCCTTTGAACACAGCAACATGCATCACCCAACCACTCACCTGCAGCACACAGCACAGCGCATCACTCACCTGCAGCACACAGCACCGCACACCACTCACCTGCAGCACACAGCACCGCACACCACTCACCTGCACCACACAGCACCGCACACCGCTCACCTGCAGCACGGTGTGGTAAGGGCGAGTGAGCACGGCCCTACCACAGCACCCCTCCACCAGCTTCTTGCCCGCCGCACTCAGCGCTACCTCCCCCTCGTTCACCAGCCTCACCATCAGCTTCGGCCGATCCCAAACCACCTTCTCCACCCCACCCTCCCTTTCCCCATCTTCTCCCCCGGACCTTGACCACCGTTCCGACTTCCCCCCGTGCTCCCTCCTAACATGCTCCTTCCCCCCATGCTCCCCTATCAAGTGCCCCTTCCCTTGGTGCCCTTGCGTTGCCATGTCCCCCCCCATGCCAGCATCATCATCAGACGAGTAGCTGGACCAGCTGCCTCTGCGCCTGCCACTGCTGCTGCGCCGCGTCTTGCTGCTACTGCTGCCTGATTGATCCGCCTCATGCCCTGCTGCTTCAGCCCGTGCTGCCTCTTTCCCAGCTGCTGTGTCACATGCCGCCTCCCCACCCACTGCCCTCGCTCCCGTTGCCGCTTGCTGCTGCTCCACGCGCTTCACGGGATGCTCTATCGCCCTCTCTTCAGGAGCTCCTCCTTGCATCCCCTCGCCTTGCCTGGGACCACCCGTGCGCAGCACAGGCTGCAGAGAGGCACGCAACACAAGGGAAAACGGACCAGCAGCCGCACAAGGGGGAATGGATGGGCGGCAGCAGCACAAGCAGGAACGAATGAGCAGCAGAAGGGGGGGGGATGGACGCAAAGCAGGAGATGAGAGATGGTGAAAGGGAGAGAGAGTGAGTGGTAGCAGCACACACGTATGAATGCAGGACGTACACGGTAAGCTGTGCTGATAGAGCATACCTACTGATGGAGCACCATGTCAGTGCCATACTTTCGTTTCGTTACGTATCTGTAAGTGAGGAATCAACACTCCATGCACATGCCTGCACGCCCACACACATACTCATACACTCACCCCAAACCCACACGCCCACACATGATACATCCATAACCCCATGCCCACCTGCATGTGCACGGTAGCGCTTGCCTGGGCGCGCCAGTGCGCTCCCAGCCGGCAGTACAGCGCACCACACTCAGACCCAGCCCGTCCCACACACTTGCCCATACCCCCATAACCCCTCCCCAATAACCCCTCCCCCATAACCCCTTCCCCATAACCCCTCCCCCATGTGCCCATGCCCCCATAACCACATGGCCATGTACCTCCATCTGTGCAGGAGCAACTGCCTGGGTGCGCCAGTGTGCTCCCAGGCGGCAGTACAGCACCACACTCAGACCCGGCCCGTCCCACGCCCGCTGGTGCAGCGAGAGCAGCGCCGGGGGCGGCTGCAGAGGCAGCTGAGGGTGGGGAGGAGAGGCAGAGGGGAAGGTAGACGGACGAGAGGACGGTAAGAAGGAGTACCAGAGGTAAACACGGGCTCACGCCCTCAACTATATGACAACCAGTGGCGGAATCATGTGGATAACTCAGCTGTACGAGCTCATGCCCTCAGTAAGCACCCAGCTTGAGAGGGTTCTCATGCTCCTCCCACTTCATTTCTCTGCTCAGCCTCCTTCCCCCCTTCTCCCACCCACCCCCAACTGCACTTTCCCCCTGTCACGCTTGATCCCTGACCTGGATATTGACGATCAGCACGGGTGGCAGTCCGTTGCTGCTCTGCGCTGCCGGCTCGCTGCCAGGTGGCGGCACGAGAGCGGCTGGGAGGTCCACGTGGGCGGCGATGTGGCGGATCTTCCTGGACGTGTGGAACACGTCTGCCGCCCAGGGCTCGTAGATGGGGGGTGCGGCAGGTGCGACCTTGGCTCCATCACTGCACAGCACAGCACATGGGGTGCAGGCAGGGATCAGATGGGACTTAGAGGAAAACAGACGATATGTGAGAGAGCAGAGAGATGCACGTCTGTGGCCCAGAGCTTGTACAGAGGGGGCGAGACAAGAGGGTCCATGGCTCCATCGGTGCATGGATGGATGGGAGTGGGATGAGATGAGCGTCAGTGCAGCACAAGGCTTGGACCTCCTTACCTGGCGTAGGTGGGGCCGCGCACGAGCAGCAGGGAGGGGTCAGCGGGAGACCAGCAGTTGGTGGCAGCGCGGGCGGAGGGGGAGCAGCAGAACAGCTGAGAGCCCGCCCGCGGCCACATCAGCAGACGCTTCACGGCTGGCGTGGGGGTTGAAGAGCAAGGGGGAGAGGGGCCGGAGGGAGGAAAGGGGAGGGTAGAAGGAGTCGATTAGGAAGAGAAGAGCTGAGAGCCAGCCGAGGGCAGCGGTTACATCAGCACACGGGGCAACCGGGAAACCGGGAAACCGGGAAACCGGGCAACCGGGCAACCGGGCAGCTGGAAAACCGGGCAGCCGTGAAACCGGGAAACCGGAAAACCGGGATACCAGGCAACCGGGAAACCGGGCAACCGGGAAACCGGGAAACCGGGAAACCGGGCAACCGGGAAACCGTGAAACCGGGAAACCGGGAAACCGGGATACCGGGAAACCGGGAAGCAATAGAGATGGGGTGTCATGTGCTGGTCTCATCGCTGCAGCCAAATCTCTCAATCTGCGAGCTATCCTTCTCCTGTCCCACCCCTCCTGTCTTTCTCCTTCCCCGCAGCATGGGTTTGCTCTCAGCACGGGCTGAGAGCAGGCTATGGAAAGAGCTTGACTCACACTCGCTGGGGTTGAGAGCAGAGGAGGTGCGGAAGAGCTTGGAGAAGAGCGCGCCACCGCTGCCAGACGCCCCCGACGTGCGCTCCAGGAGAGACCCTCCACCCACTCCAGGCCGGTCCACACCCCCCATGGCCCCCATGGCCATGCCCCCACTGGCAGCACCGGCAGCTGCAGGGGCGTCGAGAGGAGGCAGCCTCATGCTGCCGCTGGAACGACCGCGGTCCGGTGCGGAGAGAGATTCGGCATCGGTGCCCGCCATGGCTGGTGAGGGGGCATAGAGATGGGCAAGAGGAGTGAACGGGAAGACTGAAGGGGGGGGCAGAGAGGGCGGCGTCGGGACGAAGAGAAGGAGGTGGGGGGGACCGGGGTTGTGGGGTGCAGAGCAGAGCAGAGCAGCAGACTGGCCAGCGAACATGAGTGGAGGAGAAGAATGGCACAGCAGTAAGCAGCAAGCAAACAGCACAAGCAGAGCAACAGCAAGAGCAGCAGAGCAGCAAGCGAGAGAAGGAGAAGCAGGGACGATGACCTTGCAGCAGGGCAGCGAGAGTGCCAGAGTGCGGCTGCAGAGACTTCCATTTCTTCAGCGTGCCTGGCCTGCCCGCCCTGCCCTCCCCCCCACTCCTGCCCCCCCCACTAGCGCCATACCCACTCATCGCACCACCACCACCACCGAGGGAAGCAGCAGGGGAGGGAGCGGCGGCGTCGGCAGGGGAGGGCGAGAGGAGCGAGGAGGAGAGGAGGTGCAGGTTGGAGACGCGCTGCTTGGCCGAACCAAAGTCGGTGCTGCGCGTGCGGTACGGCAGCGAACGTGGGGTGGTGGGGCGGGGGAGAGAGGAGTGCGCGGCGGGAGAGGGGAACGGGAGAGGGGAGTGGGCGGCAGGGGAGGGACTGGGGAGAGGGGAGTGGGGGACAGGAGGGGGACGGTCTAGGGGCGTCTGTGTTTCATCCTGCTGCTGGTGGGAGTCAGGTGCTGGAGGGGGTGCTGAAGGTGCTGCTGCTGCTGCTATTTCTGCTGGTGCTGCTGCTGCTTCTGCTGCTGCTGCTGCTGGTGGTGCTGCCACCTGTTTCTGGTGGTGCTGGTGGTGGTGCTGCTGGCGGTGCTGCTGATGATGGTGGTGGTGCTGCTGCTGCTGCACGGGTGGGAGGAGGTGGGGGCTCAAACGGAGGAGCAGCAGCGGCTGATGGAAGGGTGATGGGTGCTTCTGGGGTGTGGGGTGGTGGTGTAACGTCTGGGGGTGTTGTTGCGAGGGGTGGAGGTGAGGGGTCAACAGCCCTTGTCGCAAGGGCTGCTGCGTTACCGACATCAACACCAGATGTATTATCCATGTCACTACCTGTGTCAGTAATACTGGTCGTGTCAGTGGCATTTATTAGAGCACCGGCACCGCGTGGGTCAATATGAGAGGCTGCATTAACGGCACTGGTCATGCCAATGGCATTACTAGCAGCAGTAGAGGTGTCAGTAGCAGCAACACTGTCAGTAGCAGCACTGGTGTTAGCAGCAGTGGCGGTGTCAGCAGCGTTAAGATCAGCTGTGCAAGTGCTTCTTACCACGTCGCTCTGCCTTACTGGCTCTGCAACAGCAGTAACAGGTGCAGCTGCAGCAGTGGACTTTTCAGCTTGCGGGCGTTGAATGGGGAACTGGGTGTGGGGCTGTGAGCGGGAGGGTGTGCGAGGGCGAGAGGGTGTGTGCGGTTTGGGGGAGCGAGGAGCAGGCATGGAGCGAGGAGAAGGGGCAGGGGGAATGGAGCGAGGGGAGCGGGAAAAGGAGCGCATGGAGCTGCTGCGAGAGAGGGACTCTGGAGGGGATGACAGAGGGGGCAGGGAAGGGGACAGGAAAGAAACGCCGGAAGCACAAATGAGAGACTTGGGGAGAACACACAAGAGAACAAGGACCGAGTGAGAGCAGGTAGAGGGTGTAAGAGCGGGGGAGCAAAAGAGGAGAAGGAGCAAGAGAGAAAGCAAGGGGGAGGAGGAGCAAGGGGGAGAGGGAGCAGAGGGGAGAGGGAGCAGAGGGGAGAGGGAGCAGAGGGGAGAGGGAGCAGAGGGGAGAGGGAGCACGAGCACGGACCAGCGACAGAGAAGAACTCGTCCGGGTCGTTGAAATCCTCATCTCCGTTGCTGTTGCCTCCACACCCATCATCCCCATTGCCGTCGCGATCCCTGTCACTGCCAGTACCTGGCACACCAGGTAGGTGCAACACAGCTCTACTCCCATCTCTTGTTGCTGCTGCTGCAGCCGCTGCTGCTACTACACCCCCTGCCGTTCCCCCAGAGTGAGCAGCAGGGTGAGCAGCAGCAGAGAGAGGGTCCAGGGCGGCCTGCAGGCAGCTGGCCACCCACTCGTCTACCTCCCTCGCCCGCACAGGGCTCTTGCGCACATCAATCTCCCCAGTCCCGCCCATCTCTCGCACCACCACTCCCCCGCGTCCCATAGGCGAGCACGAGCGCGCTCGCCCCAGGCTACTCACCCCCGTCACGCCACTCACCCCCGCCCCACCCTCTCCTCTCCGTTGCCCCCCCTCCAACGCACCCTCCTGCTCGCTCTCTCGCCGCCTGCTCTCCTCAGCCCTCTCATATCCCTCGCCTTCTCTCCACTCCCTCATCCCCTCCTCTCTCCTCTCCTGCCCTCGTCCCGCCTCCCTGCATCCACGACCAGCCACTGCCGCCTCTGCCGTCTCTGCGGCACCACCACATGCCTGCACCGACATTCGTTCGTCCACGGGCCTCCGATCCTTCCCCTCTGCGAGCCCTGCCACGTCACCAGGGGGGCCCTGCCGCTCCTGCTGCTCCTGCTGCTCCAGCTGCTGAGCCCGATCAGACGAGGCAAACGCGGAAGTTTCTTCGGCGTGGCCATTCAGGGAATCGGCCACGTGCGTCTTTCCATGCTGCTGCTGCTGCTGCGGCTGATGGTGGGTGTGCTGGATAAGCCGTATGAACGAGCCGTTGCTGTTCTCTGACGTCTCCTCCTCACTGCCTCCATCCTCATCGCCTCCTGCTGCTCCTGTCGCTGCTGCAACGGCTGCTCTCGCTCTTCCCCCCTCTACACCTGCACCAGCAGCGCTGTCTACGCCATTCATGACGTTCTCCCCTCTCCCGACCGCTGCCGCTGCTCCAGCTGCCGCTTCCCCAGCTGCTGCTGCTGCTGCCTCGCCCGTTGCTGCTGTTTCCTCTCGTTCAGTGCGGGCATCGGAGTGGCTGTGGCGCCGGAACGGGGAGAGGGAGTGCGAGCGGGAGTGGGAGTGACGATCGGAATGACTGTTCCTGCGATCAGCATGTGCGTGTGCAGGGTGATGCGCATGTCTCTGCGAGTGCTGCTGCGAGGGGTGCTGCTGGCCCTTTTTCCCATCTTTGAACACCATCACCTTCCACGTGAAGCACCTCACTCCCATCACCGCCTCAGGACTCCCCATTTCCCCCTCTTCCTCTTCCTCCTCCTCCTCCTCCTCCTCCTCCTCCTCCTCCTCCTCCTCCTCCTCCTCCTCCTCCTCCTCCTCCTCCTCCTCCTCCTCCTCCTCCTCCTCCTCCTCCTCCTCCTCCTCCTCCTCCTCCTCCTCCTCCTCCTCCTCCTCCTCCTCCTCCTCCTCCTCCTCCTCCTCCTCCTCCTTTTCCTCATCGTTCGCCCCTTCTGCCCTCCACCATTCTACTTCGCCCACCCCTCTTCCCTCCTCACCCTCCCGCTCTTTCCGTCGCCCACGTCCTGCGCTCTTGCTGCCCCGTCCTGAGCGCGCATGCCCCGCGCCGACCGCAGGTGGCTTCGCAGGTGTTCTTTCGGGTGTTTCAGCGGACCGTGCTCGCGCGACTCTACGAGACGGGCTCGCAGCGCTTTCCGGCGCAAGAGACGCCGAAAGACTCGGAATGGCCGGCTTCTGCTGCGAGCTTTCGGTCCACGTCCCGTCCGCGTTATCGTGGAAATTCGTCTGTTTCCCGCCAATGGTATCTGATGTGCCAGGCATAATAACGGACGGCAAATTCGTATAACGATTAGCGTGAAGGTCACGTGGAAGGTTCGAGCAAAATGCTAACTTGCGATCCGCTGTAGATGTGAAGGATGACGCGTGCAAGCGGAGGAACGTGATGAACGCTATTAGTCAAGTAAAGCCTAAATTAGATTGGTAGTCTCATGTTGCGTTGAAGCTGAACGATAAGTTACGAGGTACACTAACTCTATCTCATTCGGTTTGCCAAGGTTGGCAGCCATTGCTCTTGATAGGAAAAAGAAACTGGAACCATTTTCTAGAGTTTGGCGGGTATGCTGCTGGTTTGCTCAGGGGAGGGAATGCTGACAGCAGGGAAACTGTACTCTGTAAAGCGTCACGATCTCTACTAGCAGAATATTTATCCATAACGCTTTCCTGTATACTGAATGTTTAGACGTGTGCATCTAACCTTTCACCATATTGGTAAGATTACAGGAGGTAAAAGTTAAAAAAAAAAAAGTCATAAAGACTAGAGGCTCTTTTCCAACAGAGGCTCATTCTCTCATGGGTAGTCTCATAGTTCAGCAAACCGCCTGAAGCTTCTGCAAGCTTGGAGCATTATGCACAACTATGGAACTGAAAGCAAGCCATTCAAATCTAACGATAAGTGCTATAACAGAGCAGAGGACGATCACAGTGTTCTTTTGCTAAGCTGGGCTGACAGAAAATGCACAAAAGCCTTCACCACGGCCTCCCCTACCTCCCCCTTCATGCCCCCATTCCCATCAGGGCATGAGTAATGCGGATCAATTGATGAGCACGTGGTCCTGTATAGAGGTGCAGTGACCTGCCACGTGTCAAAGAACGACAAGCCCATGTGGCGAGCCAGGGGCTGGGCAATCCCATTGCCATATGCCAGCATGGCATTGGTTCTTCTAATCCATTTTCGATTTGCCACCCAAAATGAAGGCAGGCCAAAGAATACAGCAGGCTTTTTTGGTCGAAGGAGGTGGAGCGAGGAGAGGAAATGAGGGAGGTAGTGGGGATAGGCCACAGCACCATCAGAGCAGAACTCAAAGGTCCAGTGTCCTGTGCCTACGACTGTGACATCTGCAGTTGGTGATGGTGCAGGATAACTGCTTGTATGGTTGGAATATTTACCCCTGCGACTGCATAAATGCAGGGAGAGAGTGAGAAAGGAAGGAGCTAAATCTGAAACGTGCAAACCCGATATGAATCATCGATGTTCACTGGCACACTTACGAGCATCCTGCCACATTGTTGTCGTATATGCCATCCAGCCAGTTGTATTTTACAAGAATATTGCCTTCCTTCACCAATTCTCCACCAGCTGAAACATCCCCTGCTGCTGCTGGAGCAGTGACGTTGAGGGTGTAAGAGACGTCACCATGCCTCACCAGGGTCATATTATGCCTCGTGCCAGTGTGCATGAACCAGAGGTGCATGATTAATCCTCTCATGTGTGAGTCTCCAATCACATTCACCTCCCGTACTCCTCCATCCTTCCACAATGACCAAAGCATGTCATTCAACGGAGCAGCACGAGCGCAGCTGAAGAATGACCACCTGAATCCACAAATGAACGTTCAGGCTAAGACGTTGCCCGAAAGGGTTGACGTTGTGACGAAGTATACGAGGCTTTGTAGATCCGTGTTTTCACTGACCTGTACTTATTTGTGGTAGCAGTTGCTGTGTTTCGATCGGTCAAGCCATTTTGACTCGTGCCATCAGTGCCTGCAAGCCACCGACCAGCAATCCCATGTGCACATGGACTCGTGACCGATGAGAGATCCATATTGGCTTCATCGAGTTGAGGTTCCTCCAGCCAATCACGTGGCTGGCTTCCTTTAAGAACCGAAACAGGTATTCTTGCAAATACGTGTTGTCCTAAACGGTTCCAATCTTTGGTGTAGTTCAGATTGGAGCCATCGACACGGAATTCCATGCTGCATGAAATAAAACGAATCAGAGTGCCATGTGCGAAGCCTATAGAGAATGACCCTCCAGTGGAAACATGGAATGCGAAAACGTTGACATACCTGTAATTACCAGCGTCCCACGGAGTATAGGACGCAAGAAATACCGACTGTCCTGGAGAATCAGCCATCACTGTTGTCAGATGCACGTGAATCAAAGAAGGCCCTTAGAGCGTGACCATCATGTCCCATTGAAGGGAGGAAGATGCAGAAGCAGGGATCCAGCGTGCTGGTGATTGCACCGCGATGTAGAGAGAGCAAGTTTGGCCAACATGGCATTGTTTGCAGCCATCTCCATAGATTATAACGCCACCAGGACGAATTGCATTCTTTCCATGAGACAAACTTTCTTGATCGGAGTTTCCAGTTTCGTTCAATGAGATCCTCGAGCCGCCAAGGATGGAGGAGCTCCAGCACAACCCCGCAGGCAAGACCTCAATGGATCCGGGGTTGCTTGAATTTGTTGATATAATTGATGAATATCTGAGAGTATGAAGGGTAAGGATTCAATAAAGATGAAGCTAAGGCGTATCAAATGTAGAATTACCTGCTGTTTGTCTGATTAGGAAACGCTGTGTTTGCTTGGGTTAGTGGCGCAGCCTTCCTCAGCTCTTGGTTACTTTCTCTTGCAGCAGTGCTCCTCGACAGTAGATATCCCGACAACGCGAGCAGTATAAACGAGACTGCGCAAAGGCTTCGCCGAACTACGGATGGCCAATGGCATTTTGTGACGGATGCGTGATCTAGTTCGAACCCTTGACATGGCTTCTTCCTGACCGGGCTGGAACCCGTCTCATTCTCGTCGTCCGAGTCAACGACATGTGAGTAATTGGCAGCGGAAGGAAGTGCCATTGTATCGAATCCACCGATGCTATGCTGCAGCCGAAACACCGAATGGCAATAAGAAGCTACGCTGCAGCTGTGGGGTCAGACAAGCAAAAAGGCGATCGGCAAAACCATCGCGTCTAACCAGCAGCGAGCTGGACACGACGTTCCCAAGACCGGAGAAACTAGCCCGGGCTTTCCTGGCAGGTCGCGACTCCATGGTTTTCGCTGTGAGCGGTTGTGACGAATCAACCACCTCAGCGACGTTATTACGTTTCCTAAATCGGCGTCAGATGGGACTATGGTGACCTCACAGCAAGAGAGTCCCCCATAGCAGTGCTGAATTCGGCTGAAACCTTGGGAATTTGAAAGCGCTATAGAACACCGCAATACCGATCCCAAAGAACGAAACGCCTTCATCATAAAAATTAGCTACCTTAACTCCTCATGTTTATGACAAAAGACTGAAAACTAGCACCCAAAATACATCTATTGGCTTGATACAGGTGAGGCCCCTACAGGTACTCCATTGCACTAAGCAACTCCCCATGCTCTTCGAAATATGTAACCATCCTTTGTAGAAATGGGTTATTGTTCACTGTGTCGCAGTTACACACAATGCAGCACTGTCGGCGAGCTCTTGTGACAGCGACATTCATTCGCCGCTCATCCGCCAAGAAGCCAACCTACTCATACAAGGACAAGAGTAGTGAGGGGGCGGAAAATCAGTTTGTGTCAGCATTTTCCAAAGACGGAGTGGTGCATGATGCACTGTACTGCACTATCAAAACACAAATCAACCAATCACATACCTCTCCAGTGTCATTGGAGCGGACCATGGAGATGATAATGGCCTCCTTCTCTCTCCCCTGAAACCCATCAACCGTGCTGATCTCCACTCGAGCCAGCTGCCGAGAATCCTCTCTGAATGACTTGAGTAAGCCCACCTGGGGGGTGGTGAGAGCAGGGGAGAGTGATTGCGTCATTAGGAACTGTTGCATCGAACAAAAACTGCAGTGCAACCGCGAGACACCCAAGAAGTGGAACTTAGTAAGACTGCCAGCAACTGTTGTAGTATCTGCTTATGATGTTGCCATTCAAGAACCCACCTGTGCACTGTAAGGCGTGACAATCCCTATGTCCCCCGCATCCACCCCAGCCTCCAGCAACCTCTTCACATGCGCCACCACCACCCTCGCCTCCCCCTCATTCCGCAAACTATCCCCCTCCTCCTCCCGTTGCTCCTCCACATCATCACACCCCGTCGTATCCACCAGCACCAGCCGAGCCTCCGTCACAGGCCCGGCAACCACCCCCGGCAGGTCCGGAAGCCCGTGCCTGGCCACTGCATCATGCGCGGAGAGCAGCGACTGGTACAGCTCATCAGACGCCCAGCACATGATGTCCTGGTGCATGCGGTACTGAACGGTGAGCATGGATGTGATGCGGTCCCCGTAGAGGCGGTGCAGGCGCTCGAAGAGGGTGACTCCGAGGCCGCGCTTCTGAGCCTCATCGCACTGCACAGTGGGTGGCAGCTGCAGGTGGTCTCCTGACAGGATGCAGCGCGGGGCCTTGAGCACCGCCGCCCAGCACGACACCTCCAAGGCCTGTGCTGCCTCGTCTATCACCACCAGGTCGAATGTCAGGGGCTGGAGGGATGGCAGAACGACAGCAGGAGAGGAGGGAAAAGATGGAAAGAATAAAGGAGGAGATGGAGTGTCAGTTCCAGCACAACACCTCCAGTGCCTGCTGCCTCGTCTATCACCACCAGGTCGAATGTCAGTGGCTGGCGGGATGGGGATGAGAGGGGGAGGGAGGGAAATGGGAGGGGAATGGGAGGTTATTGGAGGGGAAGGGAAGGGAGGTGAGTTGATTGGAGGGAAGGGGAGGGGCAACGGAAAAGAGGCGAAATGCAAGTGCTTTTTCCATTGACCTGTGCTCCTGCTGCCCCTCCTCCATCCCCAGCCGCCCTCGCACTCACCTCGAGGTGTCGGGACAGGCAGCCAGTGAGAGTGGTGAGCACAACATTGGAGTCCTTGAGCACATCCTCCACGGCGCGCTGCTGCCGCTGCCGCTCCTCCTTGCCCAGCCGCCGCAGGTCCCTCTGAATCTCGCCCCTCTCCCGCCTTATCCTCGTTTTAAGCAGCTTCCCTGACAGCTGCTGCATCTCCTTGCGCACGTCCTTGGCCAGCGCGCTGTTGTCCGACTGCTGCACCTGGTGGGGGGCGTGCAGGGGGGCCGAGGGGGTGGGGCAAGAGAGAGGGCAAAGAGCGGGTAAACGAAGAGAGAGAGGTGCTCCTTTTCCTTGCGCACGTCCTTGGCTAGAGCGCTGTTGTCCGACTGCTGCACCTGGTGGGGGGAAGAGAACAGGAAAGGACACAGGGTTGGGGCGAGTATGGGACAAGGGAGGGCGAGAAGGAGAGAGGGAGAAGGGAGGGAGAGAGAGGGAGTGAAACGCGGAAGAGCAATGCAAGAAAATTCAGAGGAGCGAGGGAAAGGGAACCCATGCATCAGATTGCGGAGAGATTGCGGTGAGCAGATGGCACATACACATGCCAGGACGTATGCATGCATGTGGTGCCATACCAGGGCATCAAGGGAGGAGTTGAGGATGGATGGCAGCAGTCGTGCGGGATGCCCCACTCTCACTGCCCGCACCTGCACATGTGGCAGCACAGGGGTGGGGGGTTGGAGCGCAGGGCAGGGGGGACAGGGCGAGGGGGACAGGGCGAGGGGGACAGGGCGAGGGGGACAGGGCGAGGGGTCCAGCACAAGGGGGAGAGGGAAAGTACGGAAACAATATGTCTTGATAAAAGCTAGGGAGATTGTGAAACGGTACCGTGTGAAATTGGAGGGATTCTTCGAGTAGGAAAGGATTAATATCATGCAGGTCAAGCTGTTATTCAGTAGAAAAGTAATAATATCATGTCAGGGGCACCTGCTGGTGTGCGGCACACACCAAAACCTTGCTGCATTTGAGGCGTCCTAAAAAACAGCCTCATTACACCAACTTAATGAACGCACCAGCTTGTGTGGCACGAGTCTTTCAACAAGGTTGTCCACTGCAATGTTGGACGCCGCACACACCAGCACCTTGCTGCCTCGCTTCACCTCCTGCACCACCACCTGCAAGGGCGGAGGGACGGATGTGGGGGGGAGGGGAAGAGTGATCACGATTCATTTAGGGTGATGGGCACAGCAGGGGGGCCGAGATGAGTGAAAAGACCTGAACGGACAGGATTCACACGCGAGGCGGGTAGCTCAGGTACGTCAGGTACTGGCTCTGAACCTGCAGCTGGAGTTCCCAAGCTGAACCTGCAGCTGCAGTTCCCAAGCTGAACCTGCAGCTCCAATTTCCAGGCTGAACCTGCAGCTGCAGTTTCCAAGCTAGGAATATTACAATTACAATTACCATTACCATTACCATTACCATTACCATTACCATTACCACTACCATTACCATTACCACTACCATTACCATTACCACTACCATTACCATTACCACTACCACTACCTTCACCATTACCGCTACCATTACCATTACTACTATCAATACCAATACCACTACCACTATTTTTACCATTACCATTACCATTACTACGACCACTACCAATATCATTACCACTACCACTAACACTATCATTACCATTAACATTACTAGTACAATTACCATTACAATTACCATTAGAACTACCACTGCCATTACCATTACCATTACCATTACCATTACCATAACCAATACCACTACCACTATCTGTACCATTACCATTACCACTGCCACTACCATTATCATTACCACCATCACTACTTCTATCATTACCATTAACATAGCCAAAAAACTTACCATTACAATTACCATTACAACAACCAATGCCATAAACCAATTACCATAACCACCACAATTATCACTACCATTACCATTACCACTACCATTACCATTACACGTGGACCAAGGCGCACTCTCGTGGACCAAGGCGCGCTCTCGGGACCAAGGCGCGCTCTCGTGGACCAAGGCGCGCTCTCGTGGACCAAGGCGCGCTCTCGTGGACCAAGGCGCGCGCTAGTGGACCAAGGCGCGCTCTCGTGGACCAAGGCGCGCTCTCGTGGACCAAGGCGCGCTCTCGTGGACCAAGGCGCGCTCTCGTGGACCAAGGCGCGCTCTCGTGGACCAAGGCGCGCTCTCGTGGACCAAGGCGCGCTCTCGTGGACCAAGGCGCGCTCTCGTGGACCAAGGATGGCGCTCGTGGACCAAGGCGCGCTCTCGTGGACCAAGGCGCGCTCTCGTGGACCAAGGCGCGCTCTCGTGGACCAAGGCGCGCTCTCGTGGACCAAGGCGCGCTCTCGTGGACCAAGGCGCGCTCTCGTGGACCAAGGCGCGCTCTCGTGGACCAAGGCGCGCTCTCGTGGACCAAGGCGCGCTCTCGTGGACCAAGGCGCGCTCTCGTGGACCAAGGCGCGCTCTCGTGGACCAAGGCGCGCTCTCGTGGACCAAGGCGCGCTCTCGTGGACCAAGGCGCGCTCTCGTGGACCAAGGCGCGCTCTCGTGGACCAAGGCGCGCTCTCGTGGACCAAGGCGCGCTCTCGTGGACCAAGGCGCGCTCTCGTGGACCAAGGCGCGCTCTCGTGGACCAAGGCGCGCTCTCGTGGACCAAGGCGCGCTCTCGTGGACCAAGGCGCGCTCTCGTGGACCAAGGCGCGCTCTCGTGGACCAAGGCGCGCTCTCGTGGACCAAGGCGCGCTCTCGTGGACCAAGGCGCGCTCTCGTGGACCAAGGCGCGCTCTCGTGGACCAAGGCGCGCTCTCGTGGACCAAGGCGCGCTCTCGTGGACCAAGGCGCGCTCTCGTGGACCAAGGCGCGCTCTCGTGGACCAAGGCGCGCTCTCGTGGACCAAGGCGCGCTCTCGTGGACCAAGGCGCGCTCTCGTGGACCAAGGCGCGCTCTCGTGGACCAAGGCGCGCTCTCGTGGACCAAGGCGCGCTCTCGTGGACCAAGGCGCGCTCTCGTGGACCAAGGCGCGCTCTCGTGGACCAAGGCGCGCTCTCGTGGACCAAGGCGCGCTCTCGTGGACCAAGGCGCGCTCTCGTGGACCAAGGCGCGCTCTCGTGGACCAAGGCGCGCTCTCGTGGACCAAGGCGCGCTCTCGTGGACCAAGGCGCGCTCTCGTGGACCAAGGCGCGCTCTCGTGGACCAAGGCGCGCTCTCGTGGACCAAGGCGCGCTCTCGTGGACCAAGGCGCGCTCTCGTGGACCAAGGCGCGCTCTCGTGGACCAAGGCGCGCTCTCGTGGACCAAGGCGCGCTCTCGTGGACCAAGGCGCGCTCTCGTGGACCAAGGCGCGCTCTCGTGGACCAAGGCGCGCTCTCGTGGACCAAGGCGCGCTCTCGTGGACCAAGGCGCGCTCTCGTGGACCAAGGCGCGCTCTCGTGGACCAAGGCGCGCTCTCGTGGACCAAGGCGCGCTCTCGTGGACCAAGGCGCGCTCTCGTGGACCAAGGCGCGCTCTCGTGGACCAAGGCGCGCTCTCGTGGACCAAGGCGCGCTCTCGTGGACCAAGGCGCGCTCTCGTGGACCAAGGCGCGCTCTCGTGGACCAAGGCGCGCTCTCGTGGACCAAGGCGCGCTCTCGTGGACCAAGGCGCGCTCTCGTGGACCAAGGCGCGCTCTCGTGGACCAAGGCGCGCTCTCGTGGACCAAGGCGCGCTCTCGTGGACCAAGGCGCGCTCTCGTGGACCAAGGCGCGCTCTCGTGGACCAAGGCGCGCTCTCGTGGACCAAGGCGCGCTCTCGTGGACCAAGGCGCGCTCTCGTGGACCAAGGCGCGCTCTCGTGGACCAAGGCGCGCTCTCGTGGACCAAGGCGCGCTCTCGTGGACCAAGGCGCGCTCTCGTGGACCAAGGCGCGCGCTCGCGGACCAAGGCGCGCGCTCGTGGACCACGGCGCGCTCTCGCGGACCAAGGCGCGCTCTCGTGGACCAAGGCGCGCTCTCGTGGACCAAGGCGCGCTCTCGTGGACCAAGGCGCGCTCTCGTGGACCAAGGCGCGCTCTCGTGGACCAAGGCGCGCTCTCGTGGACCAAGGCGCGCTCTCGTGGACCAAGGCGCGCGCTCGCGGACCAAGGCGCGCGCTCGTGGACCACGGCGCGCTCTCGTGGACCAAGGCGCGCTCTCGTGGACCAAGGCGCGCTCTCGTGGACCAAGGCGCGCTCTCGTGGACCAAGGCGCGCTCTCGTGGACCAAGGCGCGCTCTCGTGGACCAAGGCGCGCTCTCGTGGACCAAGGCGCGCTCTCGTGGACCAAGGCGCGCTCTCGTGGACCAAGGCGCGCTCTCGTGGACCAAGGCGCGCTCTCGTGGACCAAGGCGCGCTCTCGTGGACCAAGGCGCGCTCTCGTGGACCAAGGCGCGCTCTCGTGGACCAAGGCGCGCTCTCGTGGACCAAGGCGCGCTCTCGTGGACCAAGGCGCGCTCTCGTGGACCAAGGCGCGCTCTCGTGGACCAAGGCGCGCTCTCGTGGACCAAGGCGCGCTCTCGTGGACCAAGGCGCGCTCTCGTGGACCAAGGCGCGCTCTCGTGGACCAAGGCGCGCTCTCGTGGACCAAGGCGCGCTCTCGTGGACCAAGGCGCGCTCTCGTGGACCAAGGCGCGCTCTCGTGGACCAAGGCGCGCTCTCGTGGACCAAGGCGCGCTCTCGTGGACCAAGGCGCGCTCTCGTGGACCAAGGCGCGCTCTCGTGGACCAAGGCGCGCTCTCGTGGACCAAGGCGCGCTCTCGTGGACCAAGGCGCGCTCTCGTGGACCAAGGCGCGCTCTCGTGGACCAAGGCGCGCTCTCGTGGACCAAGGCGCGCTCTCGTGGACCAAGGCGCGCTCTCGTGGACCAAGGCGCGCTCTCGTGGACCAAGGCGCGCTCTCGTGGACCAAGGCGCGCTCTCGTGGACCAAGGCGCGCTCTCGTGGACCAAGGCGCGCTCTCGTGGACCAAGGCGCGCTCTCGTGGACCAAGGCGCGCTCTCGTGGACCAAGGCGCGCTCTCGTGGACCAAGGCGCGCTCTCGTGGACCAAGGCGCGCTCTCGTGGACCAAGGCGCGCTCTCGTGGACCAAGGCGCGCTCTCGTGGACCAAGGCGCGCTCTCGTGGACCAAGGCGCGCTCTCGTGGACCAAGGCGCGCTCTCGTGGACCAAGGCGCGCTCTCGTGGACCAAGGCGCGCTCTCGTGGACCAAGGCGCGCTCTCGTGGACCAAGGCGCGCTCTCGTGGACCAAGGCGCGCTCTCGTGGACCAAGGCGCGCTCTCGTGGACCAAGGCGCGCTCTCGTGGACCAAGGCGCGCTCTCGTGGACCAAGGCGCGCTCTCGTGGACCAAGGCGCGCTCTCGTGGACCAAGGCGCGCTCTCGTGGACCAAGGCGCGCTCTCGTGGACCAAGGCGCGCTCTCGTGGACCAAGGCGCGCTCTCGTGGACCAAGGCGCGCTCTCGTGGACCAAGGCGCGCTCTCGTGGACCAAGGCGCGCTCTCGTGGACCAAGGCGCGCTCTCGTGGACCAAGGCGCGCTCTCGTGGACCAAGGCGCGCTCTCGTGGACCAAGGCGCGCTCTCGTGGACCAAGGCGCGCTCTCGTGGACCAAGGCGCGCTCTCGTGGACCAAGGCGCGCTCTCGTGGACCAAGGCGCGCTCTCGTGGACCAAGGCGCGCTCTCGTGGACCAAGGCGCGCTCTCGTGGACCAAGGCGCGCTCTCGTGGACCAAGGCGCGCTCTCGTGGACCAAGGCGCGCTCTCGTGGACCAAGGCGCGCTCTCGTGGACCAAGGCGCGCTCTCGTGGACCAAGGCGCGCTCTCGTGGACCAAGGCGCGCTCTCGTGGACCAAGGCGCGCTCTCGTGGACCAAGGCGCGCTCTCGTGGACCAAGGCGCGCTCTCGTGGACCAAGGCGCGCTCTCGTGGACCAAGGCGCGCTCTCGTGGACCAAGGCGCGCTCTCGTGGACCAAGGCGCGCTCTCGTGGACCAAGGCGCGCTCTCGTGGACCAAGGCGCGCTCTCGTGGACCAAGGCGCGCTCTCGTGGACCAAGGCGCGCTCTCGTGGACCAAGGCGCGCTCTCGTGGACCAAGGCGCGCTCTCGTGGACCAAGGCGCGCTCTCGTGGACCAAGGCGCGCTCTCGTGGACCAAGGCGCGCTCTCGTGGACTCTCGTGGACCAAGGCGCGCTCTCGTGGACCAAGGCGCGCTCTCGTGGATGAAGCAGAAGTTGCAGCTGCAGCTGCACAACGGCGCAATGGCGAATGAGTGCAAGAGCGTGGCCCGTGAATGAGTGCCACGTGGTGGGTGGGGTGGGAAGACAGGCTGTATGGGATGCATGCGGGCGTCTCACTTTATGACATGCAAACTGCTCGCGGCACCCTCTCACCTCCACCACAGTGGTCGTCTTGCCCGTGCTAGGAGGCCCGTGGATGAGTGCCACGTGGTGGGCTGACAGGCTCGTGGCCACGGGTGGGGAGAGGCAATACTATATGCATGCGGAAACACGTCTCACTGCAGCCTCACCTCCACCACAGTGGTCGTTTTGCCCGTGCCCGGCGGCCCGTGGATGAGTGCCACGTGGTGCGCGGACAGGCTCTTGGCAACAGCTGCCTTCTGTGACTCGTCCAGAGCACGGTTGATTGGCGTGAAGGGCGGCGGGGCCTTGGCCAGGCGAGGCTCAGACTGACCAAAGAGAACCTGATGGGGGTCGAAGGGGAGAGGAGGGGAGGGGAGGGAGGCAGGAGAGGAGGGGAAGGATAAGCCGCGGCCCCACGCCTGCCCAACGGGCACTCCCAGAGTAGCCCCCATGCGCTTGTACATCACATCATTCTCCCGTGCTTACCGGTATAAGCGCCGCCCCAGGCCTCCCAACCGTGCTCACTCCCACATCCCCCGTCCTGCTGAGCGCCCCCAGGGTATCGCGCATGCGCTTGTACGTGACATCGTTCGCAAGCTTCTCAATCCGCACAGGGGCGTCCAGCCCGTCCCCATCGGGCACATCATCCACGGCCACCACCACCGCATCCTCCCTCACGCGGTACACTACCCCCTGCGCTATCGCCGCCTGCGCGCCCTCCGCCTTGTTCGCCCGTATCGCCACCACGTCGTGCGGCGTGAACTTGTGCGGCGCCAGCACCGGCCCAGACGCCCGCGAACCCGAGCCTGCAGGTCCGGCATCTGCCCCGGCAGCTGCTGCACCTCCTCCCTTGCTTGCAACTTTCCCGGTCTTGTTGGAGACGAGGGTGAGGAGCGTCTTGCCCATGAGGCCTGCTGTGGCCTCGCTGCACCGCAGGTGGCACAGCACCCGCCCCTTGGCCTGCGCTGATGCCAGTGATCGTGTGGACGCGGCCTCTTCTGCGAGTGCCACTTCGGCGTCCTGTGGGGTTGGACCGGGGGCGGGGGAGGAGGGGTGTGCGGGAGGATGGTTTTGGTGCAGGGCAGGTGGCACAGCACTCGCCCCTTAGCCTGTGCAGACGCTAGTGAACACGTTGGTACCGCCTCTCCTGCCAACGCCACCTCCGCTTGCGTGGAGACAGATGGGGCGCAATGGTGAGGAATGGTGGGAAGGACAGGAAAGGGAGGGGAGGAAGGATTCAGAGAAGCAGGCGGGTGAGCATGCAACACCAGCCAACTTGGAGGAATGTAACCAGCATGGAGGAGGGGCGAAGCTCACCTTCTCCAGGTCCAGCAGAGGCCGCATCCGCTTGATGAACTCGTGCACATCGCTGTAATCACTCACATCTTGAGACGTCTCAGCTCAGAACAAACTCATGATTCAGCACAGCAGCTCACCTTCTCGAGGTCCAGCAGAGGCCTCATTCTCTTCACGAACTCATGCACGTCGCTGCAGTCACTCACGTCTGCCGCCACGCCCCCACGCGCCCTCCCCACCCCCGCCGCCCCATACCCCATGCCTGCACCCCCCTTCCCCCCTCCTGCTCCCCCTTTTCCGCCTCCTCTTCCCCCCGCCCCCTTGCCCTCAGTGCCGCTTCCGCCCCTGTCGTCCCCCCCAAGCGCGTCAGCAGGCACATCCCACCCCAAATGCTGCTTCAGAGCGTCTCCCAGCTGGCGCGCTCCCATTGGCTGCTGCTGCTGCTCCTGTTGCCGCCCATCATCCGCTCCTACATGCAGCGTCCTGCCTTCCCCCTCAGACTCCCCACCTTCCCGCCACAGCACTAGCTGCCGATGCGAGCCACCCGGCATGTCCCGGCTCTCGTGTTGCCACCCATGCGTGTCCGCGAGATCTGATTGGATGGGAGCCGATGGAGTGAAGCGCGCGGCAGCATATGAGTGGGTGAGATGAGATGGACGCTGGGAATGGGTAAGTAAAGGCAGGGAGGGAGCATATGAGTGGCAGAGAGGGAGGAGTAGAGGCAACTCGGCATGCAGGCCGCTCTCACACCATCATGCTGCCTCCCTCACTCACACCGGTACCACCACCCCTCCCAGCAGTATCCCTTCCCCCCAGCAGCACCCTTCACGGCCTCTCAACATGTCACACCGTGCGCCTCCCACCGTGCATCCCTCACCATGCAATGCGGCGCGTTGCTTGGGCGTGAGGGACGGCGGGAAGACAACTCGTGTCACTGGCAGCTGGCAGGACACGTGGCAGCAGGGGAAGGGGGGAGAAGTGGGGGGGATGCGCCGAGAACAATGACGGCCAGGAAGGCAGGATAGTAGTGCAAATGAGATTAAAAAGAACCTGGAAACGAAAGGGAAAGAGAGTTGTCGTGTCATGTCCTGTACTACCATATCCTTACGCATACATGTCTGTATAGCATGCATCGATCCTCAGGCATGACTCCAGCGTCACAATTCCGTTGGGAAAACTTCCGCCCTGAACCCTCTATTCAAATCCTGCCTGAAAACATTATCCTTAGTGACGATACAGACTAAGTACATGCTTACTCCAGCCGTCGCTCCTGCTTCCGTGGATGCTGCCGTGCCATTTTCTCCACGACCTGCGATTCCCCCGTCACCCGCGGGTGCAATGGCGGAAACAGCGCAAGGGTCTGCGGGTTTGGCGGAGACCTTCTGCGCGGTGCGGTTGAGCTGCGCGGCTTTTTTGGCCGCCGCCTTGCGCTTCGCAGCATCCGACACCATTCCGGAGGAAAGAAGGCGGAAGAAAGGCGGAGGAAAGGCGGAAAAAGGCGGAGGAAAGGCAGCAGGCGCGGAGACGCAAACGAGAGGCGTGGAGGATGTAAACGTCGCTGCGCCGACACACCTCTTTCTCTACGGCTTGCTATCCGTCCGGAAACTCGCGTCCGTTGCCTGACCCTGGCAAACTGAGACGTCGCTACCAGTCAATACTTAGTAATGACACACAGCATATCGGCTATTTCGTGAGGAAATCCAAGGCTCAGCCTGAAATCTGCTCTGCTGGTGCTGATAGGAGAAGCTCGGAAGTGAATAAGAGCTATCGCAGTTGACCAGTACTAATTCGTCGAACCGCAGCTGCCCCTATCAGCTCAGGGTGCTCCAGTTAGCTAAACTAAAAGCGCCTAAGCTGCTTCCGTGCTTCATGTAAAATTGCGGTGTGTGTCAAACTTGTTTCGAGGTAAATCAGTGAAATCTGTTAATACCGCGTACGATTTCTGGGTGTTCGCGGTTCACGTACAAGTACGGTGTGTCAGAACTGATTGTCAGGCTCAGGTGTTTGAAACTGGGGAAAATATGTCACAAGTAACGAACTTGGGACTTGATAACGTAAATGGTACAAAAAAAACGCGTACGGTCACTGTATCGGGTTTCCTGACGGGTTTGGTAAGTGGGGTCACGGATTCAGTCATTAACAACAGGTAAAAAATCACGCGAATGGTCACACATGTAACTCCCGCCAAAAAAACTTGAAACTCAACAAAATTCCCGCTCGCCCCCAACCAATCTGCGAACTTGTAAAAAAAACTAAAACCCAATCGGAATCGGATGCGGTTCGGGAACGGATCAACCCTAAACACCTGGCTAGTTACGTGTTAGGGTTGATTAATCCGAAAATGCACCCAGATTCTTTTTGGGTTTCATTTTGTTTTGGCGGGAATTTCATCTGTGACCATTCGCGTTTTTTTTTACCAGTTGATTGTGACTGATTCCGTGAAACTCTTTATCAGTCGCGTGAAAACACCCTTTGCAGTGACCGTACCCTTTATTTTTTTACCAACTGTGTTATCGAGTCCCATGAAGGTTACGAATGGCATATTTTCCCTTTGAAACTGACACTAGTTTTGGCGCTGAAGTAAATACAAGATTCAAGTGGCTGCAGAGTACAAATTTCTACACGGCTCAACTACATAGAAATAAAAAGCGAACACTACTTTTACGAATCTGGCATAACTCACTAAAGGAGCAGTACTGTACAAGACAAATTTTGCAGCTTCATAGGTAGCAATCTAAATACAGTGGGCTACAGTAACTCTGGGAAGAACAGTGGTGGTAAACCACACTGCCTTCACAGTAACTCTGGGAAGAACAGTGGTGGTAAACCACACTGCCCTCAAGCATTACCACCAAGTGGTATACCACCACCACTGCTCCAACCACCACTTGTCACCGCACACCACCAACCAACACCTCCACCACCAGCACCCCCATCCAAGAGGCTTGGTGGCACTCCCTCACTGCCAGCCAGCAGTGCCACTGCATGGCATGGCATGGAATGCCACCACCACCACTCCTCACAGAGAGGAGGGCAGTGAGGCTAGGCAGAGTGCTAGTGGAGGGGGGTTGAACTCCCTGGGTAAGGCGAGAGCAAGGAAAAGAGAAAGAGGTTGAGCCTCCCAGAGCATGGCTAGTGAGAGGCAAGAGAAGGGGACTGGAACCACCAGACCAAGGCAAGCTAAGGACAGAGGAGGGGGTTTCCTCTGCCCCTTGCTTGCCTCAGCCTGGGGATTCCAATCCCCCTCCCCCCCCTTGCCCTCACAAGCCTTGCCCTGAAAGGCCAACCTCCTTCCCCCGCCTTGCTCTCCCCACCACTCCCCACAGCCACTCGCCAGCAGCACCACAGCAGCAGCAGCAGTGAGGCTATGAGGCAGCCCAAGACCTGAACCCTCACCGACGTAGCAAGAGGGGAGCCCCACCAGACCCCCGGCCGCAAGGTCTGGTGTTCGTCCATTATGCCTTAACGTGCGGCTATTGGAATCCAGGCTTGGGACTGACTCACAACCCCACTGCCACCCCACCTCCACCCCACCTCCACCATCATCACCGCCACCACCACCACGACCACCGCCACCAACACCACCAACACCACCACCACCACCAGAGGGTACCTGTCAGGGGGAGGGGAGAAAAGCAAAGTTAGTTCAGAAGTAGAAGCATTGGAGGAGCAAAGGAGGGCAAGAAGCAAGAACAACTGAAGCAGAATGAAGCAGAATGAGAGAGCAAGTGAAGCTGAAAGTGAGAAAGCAAGAGAAAGGCAAGAGGCAGATCGAGGCTTGCTGTCTTACCTTTGCACACAGCAGCGAGCCCCTCAGTCCGCCAGTGGCAGTACAATCCGCTCAGCAGCAGAAGCAGCGTGGAGTAAAGCTGACCGACACCACCAACGCCGCCACCACCACTGCTGTTGCCGCCGCCGCCTGCGCTTCCACCAACAGCAGCAACCGTGGCTGAACTCCCAACGACTTCCCCTTCCAGCAGCGGTACCTGTCAGGAGAGGGAAGAGAAAATTAGTTAGTTAACCCAGAGGTAGAAGCACTGGAGCAGCAAAGGACGGCAAGCAGTGAGAGCAGCTAAAACAAAAATGAGAAAGCGAGTGAAAGGCGAAAGGCAGATGCGAAGGCATGCGAGGGTGAGGTGGGATGCCTGCTGTCTTACCTTTGCACACAGCAGCGATTCCCTCAGTCCCTCAGTCCGCCATTGGCAGTACTCCGCGCAGCAGCAGAAGACGAAGCAGAAGCGTGGAGTGGATTCACTCAGTCCGCCAGTGATGGTGACAGTCCGCTTAGCAGAAGCAGCAGAAGCAGCGTGGAGTGGAGAGCAGAGAGGAGAGGACAGCCAAGGTACCTGCTGGGGGAGGAAGGGGTGAAAAGCACAAGTGAGTGGAGGCAGTGAAGGCACATTCAGAGAGGGAGACATGCCAAAGTGAGCACACGTGCGTGCGGGAACGAGCTCTGCTGCTGCGCACACCCATGGGAATACCTTTCAGTGGGGGGTTATACCCTAAACCTTGCAATCTGAACCTGTTACCTGGGGAGCCCTAGGGCGTGCGACAGGCAGCTAGAGCGGTGCGAGGTGCATCAAAGTGAGAAATTGCGGAAGCAGATAAGTGCGGAGGGAGAGAGTCAGGGAGTGGGGGTACTCATCTTGTGTCTTGCGAGGGGCGTGTGGCAGGCGGTCGGTGCAGGCAAGGAAGAGCGCCCTGCTGCCCGCCAGCTCGCTGCATGCGCGTCCAGAGCAACCTGCCAAGGGGGACGGGGGGAGGGGGGGTTGGGAGGGCGGGGGGTGGGAGTGGGAGTGGGGGGTGGGTAAGTGGGACGGCAGGAGAAGGATGGGAGCAGCAAGGGTTGATGTGCGTGGCATGAGTGGAAGCGGAGGGAGAACTGCTGTCGCACACCCAAGGGGGTACCTTCATTAAAAAATAAAAAACCTGCAGTGGGGGGAATACCTGACCTATCAGTGTGTACCTGAGACCTGGGGGGAACCCTTGAGTGTGGTGCGAGCAGGTGGGGTGACATGAAGCATGTATGAACGAATGAATGATGGATGATGGAAAATCGAAGGCAGAGGAGGTTGAGGAGAGGGGTGGCGATACTCATCTGTGAAGGCAGCAATGTCGTCCGCGCAGGCAGCAATGTCGTCCGCGAAAGCATCACGGACGTTCGTGACGGCAGCAGCAAGGTCCGCGCAAACAGGAGGGAGGTCTGCGCAAGCAGGAGGGAGGTCCGCGCAAGCAGGAGGGAGGTCCGCGCAAGCAGGAGGGAGGTCCGCGCAAGCATCGAAACTGGAGCGAGGGTGGAGGGGAAGGGGTTGAGTTAGCGGCAGTGGAGGGAGAGGAGCAAGAGGAGAAGAACGACACAAGCGGGAGGCGTGAGACAAGCATGCGCGAATGGCCATGACATGAAAGCAGCGCCAGCAGCAGCACACCCAAGGGGGGAACCTTAGTCTGAACCTTACCAGCTAATAACCACACCTGGGCTTAACAGTTTTGCACCTGCAAGGGGGGGACCTGCACGTACCTGTACGAACCTGATACCTGGTACCAAGGAGCTGGGTGTGCTGATGAGCGGACGAGCAGACACGCGAAGCGAAGGCATGCGAAACGCGCGGGTGGGTAGCAGAGAGCAGAGGCGGGTCGGAGAGATACTTATCTTTCGATGTTGCCTTGACTGCAGCAGAGCGGACGTTGACTGCAGCAGAAAGGCGTTGACCCGAGCAGAACGTACGTTGACCCGAGCAGCACCAGGGAGGTTCACTGGAAGCAACGCGGCTCTGCAAAGGAACAGGTGAGGTGGGAGGTGCGAGGGAAGGGAGTGAGTGCAAGGGAAACGACGAGCGACGATGGGAATGAAAAGGAACGAGCGAATAGAACGAACAACGAAAGCTGCTGTAGCACACCTTAGGCAGGGGGATTACCTTGAAAATTTTTGTACCTGCAGTGGGGGGACCGTGGAAACTATACCTTACAGTCTGAACCTGAGACTCGAGGGAGGGGGCCTAAGGTGTGCTACAAGCAGCTGAAAGCGACGTGAAAGACGGAGGGAATTTAGTGATACTCATGGTTTAATGCGCTCGTAGCAGCATGGTCGCCGGCGCGCCTTCACGGTCGCGCGATCATCGAGTCGCCGACTGACGCGCCAGCACACGACGATGACTGGAGGCAGCGCGGCTCTGCCAAGGAACGGGGGAGCGAGGTGCGAGGGAAGGGAGTGAGCGCAATGAACGAGACAAGCGACGATGAAAAAGAAACGAGCGAACGAATGAATCGAAACACGACAGCTGCTGTAGCACACACTAG